AATTGTGTACCAGTCCCTAAATAGTAATGATACAGGGTCCACTTGGCAGGAGCGGCGTTTGCATACCAGACCCTAATGATACAGGATCTACTTAGCAGGAGCAGCGATCCCTAACCAACCCTATTAAACCAGATGGGGTTTTAAATGATTACCTAACCCTGAACTACCCACTGAGGACACAGGACACGTACCAGACCCTAATGATACAGGAACCACTTTGCAGGAGCGGCGATCGTGTCCCAGACCCTAATGATAGAGGGTCCACTTGGCAGGAGCGGCATTCGTGTACCAGACCCTAATGATACAGGGTCCACTTGGCAGGAGCGGCGATCGTGTACCAGACCCTAATGATAGAGGGTCCACTTGGCAGGAGCGGCATTCGTGTACCAGACCCTAATGATACAAGGTTCACTTTGCAGGAGCAGCGATCGCTATCAGTAGGGTCTGGCACATGAACACCGCTCCTGCAAAGTGAAATGAGTTTAAACCGTAACCTCAAGCCACCCTAACCAACCCTATTAAACCAGATGGGGTTTTAAATGATTACCTAACCCTGACCTACCCACTGAGGACACAGGACACGTACCAGACCCTAATGATACAGGGTCCACTTGGCAGGAGCAGCGTTCGCATACCAGACCCTAATGATACAAGATCCACTTGGCAGGAGCGGCAATTGTGTACCAGACCCTAATGATACAGGGTCCACTTGGCAGGAGCGGCGTTTGCATACCAGACCCTAATGATACAGGATCTACTTAGCAGGAGCAGCTATCCCTAACCAACCCTATTAAACCAGATGGGGTTTTAAATGATTACCTAACCCTGAACTACCCACTGAGGACACAGGACGCGTATCAGACCCTAATGATACAGGGTCCACTTGGCAGGAGCGGCGATCATGTACCAGACCCTAATGATAGAGGGTCCACTTGGCAGGAGCGGCATTCGTGTACCAGACCCTAATGATACAAGGTTCACTTTGCAGGAGCAGCGATCGCTATCAATAGGGTCTGGCACATGAACGCCGCTCCTGCAAAGTGAAATGAGTTTAAACCGTAACCTCAACCCACCCTAACCAACCCTATTAAACCAGATGGGGTTTTAAATGATTACCTAACCCTGACCTACCCACTGAGGACACAGGACACGTACCAGACCCTAATGATACAGGAACCACTTTGCAGGAGCGGCGATCGTGTCCCAGACCCTAATGATAGAGGGTCCACTTGGCAGGAGCGGCATTCGTGTACCAGACCCTAATGATACGAGGTCAACTTGGCAGGAGCTGCGATTGCGTACCAGACCCTAATGATACAGGGTCAACTTGGCAGGAGCGGTGATCACATACCAAACCCTAATGATAAAGTGTCCACTTGGCAGGAGCAGCGTTCACGGTTCACGTACATCTTTTATTGACTCAGATGTCATCACAATGACATATTAGTCAGTACAATGTACAATATACAAAAATAACTTAGACTAAACTAACTACAAAATACAAAATGTAAACAACATGACAAATGCAAAAATATAAGTTATGAGTCAAGTTTTAAATACAGCATAAGAAAATGTAAAATATCAGTGTGTTGTATCATTGACACAATGTTCATCCAACACATATACAATGTATGAATTAAAGATCATTGCCAGGATCAATAAATGACTATGTCTGTTGAACTTGGCAACATGCACACATGGCACCACCAACATTTCTGGTACATGGTACAGATGCTAATACAAGATGGCAAGTGGAACCATGTTGAGCATTAATAGACATTATTATAACATGGACATCCAACATGCCATGCTACAGCCAATAGCCATATTTATCACATGACAACATGCTGTACTTGGTAAGTTGTGAACTTGGGATCACTTGAATCAAGGTACTTGGCACACATGCAAATATAAGATGGCAAGTATGCCAATGCAACATGTATAAATCAACATGCACATCCAACATGCGAACATGGCAGTACTCACAAATTCTGATACATGTACACATGCTAAAACAAGATGCCATGTCCAACCAAAATAGTACATGTTCCAATCTAGAATAAATCTTGAATTATCACTTGCACATTCAACATGCCATGTTGAGCCAGTTGCTCTGTCTTTCACATGCTAGACCAGTAGCATCTTGTCAGAAAGGTACTTGCTAAAATATTGCCATGTTACAAACAAGTATATGCCAAGTGACTGCATCTTGTAGATATTACCACTTGGCAACATGGCAGAACATGGCATGTTTGGACCCGGTGGCCATAAATGGAAATGAATGGAAACATAAGAATTGATCTTTTTCAATGTTGAATGGGATACAACATTTGAATTCCACACAAAAACTCATGGAATCTTAAGCTTATACTGAGCTCATATATTACGTTTCATAAATTCTAAGGAATCGTCACCGTACAGCAGATGCGTCATCATACAGATTTGATCTTTTTTAAATATATACAGTGAATGATTATTTGCCAAATCTTCATCTGTTCTAAAATGTGTAGATAACAAATACCTATTCTCATAAAAATGATCCATACTCTCAGACGACAGGGAAAATAATAATCAAACGAAAAGCGAAAAAACAACATTTTTCTCTCGAGTCGATTATGTGGGCCGATCCAGTCAGAAAAAATCCGAGCAGTGGTCGAAAAACTTTTATCATAATTAGAAAGTTAAAACCATTTCTAAGAGAATGCTGTTTTTATTACACCCGAAATCGTATTTATTTTCATCTAATTAATTTTTTTAAAACCCTCATTATAGTTTTTGCTTCAAGTTAATTTTCGTCACCGTACAGAAACCTGTACTACTGTATTTTTTGACGCTGTACGGTGACGCCTGCTTACGCGATGGTTAGGCGTGACTCTTGAATCTGTAATAATTTCAAGAAATGGGAGCTCTGTTCAGGAAGAAATTTTCAAGATGGCCACCAAATTTCAAACTGGTCGCCATTTTTCATTAGAAAAGTAATATTTGATAACTTGAATACCATTTATAGAATTTGGTCAAAAGTGTACAGGCTAGATTTATGTCTTATGGGCAAAGGACCTCTGCTAAAGCAGATTTGATATGGCTGCTCATTTCAAAAATGGCTGCCAACAAATTTAGTTTAATTGTTATAAGTTGATGCTTTAGGGACGTAGGACTCTGCTCAAGAAGGAATATTCAGGACGGCTGCTCAATTCCAATTGGCCGCCATAGCAATTTTATTCAAATTCCAAATGCTAATGACATCCAAGGTCAAAGAACCTCTGCTCAAGAATGAATTTCGATAAATAAGTGATAGGGCCAAAATGCCCTGATACGTCACTTCCGCTGAGTAGAAAAACGTAGTTTTCAAAAATAAATGTAGTCCCAACACAATTGTGATCATGACGAGTCAGTAAGCTAGGCACAGTTGTCATCTTTTTGCAATGACAACATGCAATTTACTCAGAAAATGCGCTTATTTGGGTTATCTGAAGGAAAATTTCGAGTCAAGTGGCGTATTAATTTTGCCTTCATTTTTGTGAATTTCAATTTCTGTCGGCAGGGAGAGGGGGCCTAGTGTCACAATTGACCAATTATTTCAAAAAGTAGATGTTTGGCCCCTATTGAGTTTAGTGTGAAAATGTAGTTTAGACATAGCTTTAGAACCTCAGATAGGCCAGTGAGGCCACATAAATCCATAACTTGAGATAAAGGATCCCCTATTAGCATGCGACAGGATATACATGTAGCAGTGCATGAACTCAGAACACGTTGGGACACATGGTTTTTCACATTGTGCGTTCAATCTGAACGAATGACATAAAGGCCTTTATTCAAAACAAAATAAGAACGAATGATTGAAAGACTCTGAAAAAAGTAAATTTTCTTGATAGCCTACGTTGTATTGGCTGTTTTCATACAATAACAGAATTATGTACACTGTCCAGCTTCATAAAAAGATATAAGCTTGCCCAGAATTCATAGCTGAACCTTTCACCATGCTTAAATGATTTCAAGAGGTTAATCTTTTAATAGATATATCTTCATCTATGAATTCTGGGCCGGTGTGAAAGAAATGATGGTCCCCCAGGGATTATGGTCCCCTTTCTTAACGGCCCTTACTGGCCCTGACTGTGTATAAGATAATGGGGGAAAGAGTTGTATTTAGGTTACCATATAAATCAATGGAGACTAGGACCATAATTTGATAGGACCTCCTACCCTTTTACACCTGGTTACATCTTCGTCTATGCCATTCTGGGCCGGGTTATTCCAGCACTTATCATAAAGAATACATGTTGATCGGAGCAAGAGAAGGAAACTTCAAGTATTGATTGAAATACAAAGAAGGAAAATATGGATTTCCACATTGAGCATTTATATAATATCAGTGGAACAAATTCATCTGATCGGATTTATCACTTGACATACCCTCCTTATGCTGAAGATTCACCTGGAAAATTTGCAGTTTGGATAATACTTGCCGCAACATTTTTGACATTGGGGTCGTTTGGCAACCTTCTTGCACTTATGTCTATTTTCAGAGAAAAGGTAAGTTTTGTTGGTATATTATGATGCTGTACTCTAAATGTATGCAAAATTCTAATTTTCACAATTCTTACTGAAGGACCATGTATGGTATGGAGAATGATTTTAGAGAGATCCCTTTCTCATCATTGATACGCCATTTCATATAAAATTAACATATTTTCATAGAAATAACGTCCCTTGTAAATAAAATTATAAATCCCCGAACTCATTGATATATAAGGACCCTGCCTCAACAATTTTTTCGAAATGTCGGACTTATTTTTTAAAAAGCGATAAAATGAAAAAGGAGTAAGGTACTCCTTTTTAGAAAAGTTTAAGAATATCTTTATATCATTCATTGTTACAACTATATCATATTGTGTATTGAGCTCTGTTTTGCCTTTATATTTCATATGTTTCAATATATAAATGATAATATGTTTTGCAGATCCTGCAAGTACCTGAAAATATGTTTATTATATCATTGATTGCTTCCGATATATTGGTTGCGACGTGTGTATTGCCATTCAGCATAGCAGGTAATATATTATTTATTCAATGGCACGGGGTTTAGCAGACACGATGATACCGTGAGCTTTTGAGGATCCACGTTGAGCTGAACCCGACGCCGAGCTCGCTAATACATTAAGCCCCGCGACACAGCCATGCATGATACCACCGAACAAGCTCATGGTATCATCGTGTCCCCTTTACCCCTGTAAATGTGTGATGCCAAATCAAACTTGAAAATGAATAAGTTTCAGAAGAAATATTATTGAATAAATAAGTTATCGATGGCCATGATGGAGTATGAATTTTATTCCGAGGGAAAATATGACATTGGTCAAGGAAAATATCACATTTTCTCGAGGGTAAAATTCACATTCCATCCCTCCCATAAAATTTGTATTGTACATGTACCGATAACCGGAGTTATTAGCTAGTGCGCTCTCTGTGCACTATACGTGGTGGGTACGGTCATTCATCAAGCTATCACAGTTTTTCAACTTGTTTTAAATTTTTTCGAAATCATCTTCAAGTTATCAAAAGTTCAAACCTGACTATAGATTTGACCATCAATGACATTCTCCAGGTCAAAAAAAGATTTGACCTTCAATGACCTTCTCAAGGTCAAAAATGTATTTTTAATTTGGTTCAAATTGACCAATTGTTTTCAAAATCATAGATACAAGTTCTCAGAAGTTCAAATCTGAGTTTAGATTGCGATTTCACCTTCAGTGACCTTCTCAGGGTCAAAAAAGGTATCTTTTAACTTCTTCAAAATTATCTACAAGTTCTCAGAAATTCAAATCTGACTAAGATTGAAATAATAATATTGTGAGCAACTACACGGTGAGCATAACTACCCAATCACAACCATTTGGACTCATTTTGTAGGGGAATGGGATGAGACATTCACCAGAATGGCTCAAAAAGATGAAACAATTCAATCGTTTCGAAAAATACATACACTAACTTCTACCCAAGACATTCTTTTTCATACCCACGTATCTATTTTGGCGATCGTGCCATCATAAATCATGTTTATCGGCATTAGATAACAAAAAGGCCAGAAATATGCTCTAAATCTGCATTAGTGTCATTTAACTAGGTTTAAACAAAAAATCTTTTTTTACGATGAACAATATTCACTACATTCAAGATCGTATTAATATTTTAAGTATCTGTACCTTCAATTTGCCATAAATGAGCAAAATGTTCAAAGTGGAGTTAACGATGGCGAATGGTCATTATTCTGATACGGACTTGTCTTATAATCACTAGGTGAACGATTGCGAATTGTACACTCAACGCTCTCGACATGATTAAAATAACGATTTGGAATTGTCTTATAATGGTATTCATTCCTTTTGTTGCTTGATGAATTGTCTATGCTAGTGAAAAAAATTGCACTTAGCATATTTATGTTTTAGAGGAGTTTTTGGACTTACTATTCACACATTTTGTATTTTGAGTTCCCCGAAACAAGTGCCACGAATGTTCTTTAAAAAACAGACAAAAATATGTTCTTTGAACATTTCGAAAGGGGCCATCCCTCAGATTTGTTTAGGCTCGACGTTCCTTTTCTTGAACATAGCTAATAACGCTAGTACAATGGGTCAAGAAAAAGATGATAGAATCCATGTTTGTGCGGGCACAGATCGTATTTCGGTTATCAATGATGTTTATATATATATTCTTTTCAAAATATATTTGGGACTTAAATTATTATTGTACGTTTACAGTAAATCCAGTAAATCTGGACAACTCCCCCGTAAAGAGGCAAAATCTATAGATTTTAGGTCATTAAATAGCGGTGAAGCTGAGCTTTTTGTATGTATTTAGTGCAAGGGGAAAGTCTAAAAAGAATCTGAGGCAAATATTTGCATGCTGTGTGGCAAATTATAAAATAATAACAAAAGAGGCAAACAAGTAGATTTTTAACAAACATACTGTTCAAACGAACTATTTCTTCTCAACTTTCACTAAATTTCTTTGCATTAATATTAGCATGGAAGTCAGTTTCAATCCAATAAAAGGCGTCTTAAATTTTTTAAATATTCCAAAATTAAAAAAGCGAAGAGGCAAAACATAAGAAAAAGTAATAAAAATCAACTTTTCTCTCTACAAGCCTTTTTGCCCCTTGAAAGTATCAAAAAGTGCATGTATCTGTGATGATTCCATAATTCAACCTTGACAAGTATCTCTTAATGCGTTTATAATTAATGATCAAATCATTTGTATAGTAGCAATCAGACAACTTCTTCCCCTGTCCTCACCCACTGTGATGATTTGTTTGGAATATATAATGTTTATGGAGCTGTTCCGAAAATGGTTCAACCTCAATGTGTTCTACAAGTCAGAATCGTTCCAATAACAAGTCAATATCATTAACTGGAAAATTTTGGTAATGTCCAAATGGTTAAATCAAAAAAGATTCTTTTGACAATTGCTACTTATTTAAACTCTTTTAAATCGTGATCAATATGGCTACTTTCATTCTGAATCGTAATATTCATTGAATACAAGACAGGTTAGTGAGTTTCAGGCAAAATAGGTGAAAACACTGACAGAATCGCTCACTTCCCGAAATAACAAGACTATAGCAAACGGTTCGTACAACGCGGTGCCTCAAGTTAGGATATATAGTATGGTAAGTTATTTAAATCCAATATATTTACATAAAGTCAAGTGAAAGCAATGTCATAACCAAATTTACAAACCTACCTCTACACTTTTCCATAAATCGAGTCCAAATGGTTGTGGAAAAAACAAGTCCGGAACGATTTACGTTGGGTAGTATTGGGCATTGGAACTAAGTGGTGACATTTTTTCATGTTAATTCCTTGTTAATGAATCTGCTACATACTATCAATATTCTTCATTTTACAGGTGTGGTACAGGGGGAGCTGTATTTCTATCCCAAGGTCACATTGTGTGAGTTTCTTGGAGCAGTTTGCTGGATAGCATGTAACGCTGCCTTTTGGAGTGTAACTGGTTTGGCAATTAACAGGTTCGTTTCAACGATTATTTGCTTTCTATATAATGATTCCATCGCACTATTACGACATTATACAGGTTGACTCCAAATAGAGGCTCGTTCAAAGATTTATAAAGATTATGGGGGTCATGCAATCTATTCTAGGATGTCTTTGGATGGTGGACAGTTATTATGGAACACCCTGTCTTTGATATCATCATGGGCTTTCAATTAGAAAATAAAAAGTAAAGTACTCAATCGTGTCAACACGCAATTTCTCTTGCTTTTTTGTTTCAGGATGATTTTATGTTATTTTCCCAAAATGTATGTCCGTATTTTCACGTGGAAGACTACACCAGCGATTGCATTCCTTCCATGGCTTCTCTCCTTTCTGACGTATGCGCCTACCCTTTCGACTTGGGTCGCTTATGAATATGACCCGGAAAGCATGTTTTGCCTATATGACTTGGATTTCTGGCCGACTAATTTCTACCAGTTTGCAATTTTGATCGTGTCGATAACGTCAACTTTCGTCTCCATCGTTATGACGGTCTTCAAGATAAAACAGAAAAGGAGGAGTGTACGTTTAAAGCAACTTATTAGGCTGCGTAGAATTTTTAATTAATGCTGTTTTGACATCATATTAACAGTATGTGGGAGACTTAAACTAGTTAACTACTATTCTAAAATTTGAGTCAATTTAGAATTTCACATATTTACGCGTGGTTGTATAAATTATTTATACCATCTCTTGTATTACAGCTTTCACTGGTAGCCCCAGCTCTACATTTGATGGGTGGTTTCATGACAGTACCCAAGGATGATTTCGTGAAGAACGACAAGGCCCAGGAACTTAGGAAAGAACTGAACGATTTGGTAATGAACTTCAAGATGTTGTCCTGTATCTTCATCGCCTCTCTGATTCACTGGGTACCTTTTGTTGTCGGTATTCTCTCGCGTCATATTGTCGATTATGGAAGAGATTTTTGGACATTTGCAACTCTTCTCGGTCACATGCAGCCGGGGTCTGACTGCCTCTGTTATATCATTGCTAACAAGTTTTTTAGAATGGGGTACAGAAATGTGCTCCGAGGTATATTCTGTTGCAAGAAATCTGACATGTCTGATAAGGTGGTCTACTCGGAGGTTGCAAACGGTGACGGTGGATCTGAAACTGCCCTGAATACGAAATCTTAGAAATTAACAGTTTGAAGTTTTTGACTCACCATGTAGGCATGTATATTACAAGAATATTCCAGTTTAGTATAAAATGCCTACGCTGTATGGACATCGTTTACTAACCATCAACTCTTGAAGGTTTTTAACATAAAATCAACAATGAATTTTTAGATTTTAATACATATTTTTCAAAAGGTTCAGTTTGTTTTTATGGGTGCCTATAGACATCATCCTCTGCAACAATGTTGATGATTTGTTGTATATACTGTATAAATACATGCAGAGGTGAAGGTTTATGACACTATACTTTTAATTACATGTAGATATGGAGGTTAATGACATAGTACACTTTACGAATACATGTTGAGGTGGAGGTTTATGATATTGTATACTTTATAAATACATGTTGAGGTGGAGGTTTATGACACTGTATACTTTTACTTATATGTAGATATAGAGGTTAATGACATAGCATACTTTATAAATACACGTAGATATGGAGGTTAATGACATTGTATACTTTATAAATACACGTAGAGGTGGAGGTTTTGATATTGCATACTTTATAAATACATGTAGCGGTGGAGGTTTATGACACTGTATACTTTTACTTATATGTAGATATAGAGGTTAATGACATAGCATACTTTATAAATACATGTAGAGGTGGAGGTTTTGATATTGCATACTTTATAAATACATGTTGAGGTGGAGGTTTATGATATTGTATACAGTACTTTATAAATACGTGTAGAGGTGGAAGTTTATGAGATTGTATACCTTTAATTACACGTAGGTATGGAGGTTAATGACATTGTATACTTTATAAATACACGTAGAGGTGGAGGTTTATGACATTTTATTACATACCTAGAGAAGCATTTGTATGGAAGTCAATGGAGCGGAAGGTCGGCTATATATTCCTGTATTACATACCTAGCGAAGCATTTGTATGGAAGTCAATGGGAAAGTTAGCGAGCTATATCCACCGATATTGCCCGATTACCCCGATATAGCCCGCTTACCTCGTTTTGATATTAGATTTCTTTAATAACCATGATAATATCATGACGTCACGTCATTGATACAAAGTAACCATGGGAACAAAGGCATGTAATACATCAGTTATGTCACTATGACGTGAAATATGCCTTCGTTCTTGCCCAAATATAGAGCCTCCCAAGGTCGGCCTATATTGGGAGAACTCAAGGAGGATTGGCTCCCAGAATGCAACACCGATATTCTGCAAAACAATCACCTAGCGATAGCTTTGTTGGAGAGTATCGGGTCATTCTCCATGCAGTCGTACAAATTATACAGACACGAATAGCAAATGACGCATGCGTGGAGATTAAAGAATATCGAGTTGGAACCCTGGCTTCCAATCCTCCTTGGGGAGAACTCAGGCATATTTCACGTCATAGTGACATAACCTCTAAGTATAGCCGCCAAACTTTATTACCATGACAATTTTATGACGTCATAACATACAGACAAAGTTATTTTGACTGGAATCGTGTAAAACTTTGGTCTTTTTTCGCGCATTTCTACATATTATCTTCATGAAATGTTATGTAAATGTACTTTACTTAAGCTCGGGCTATATTGATGACAGACCTCAGGCATATATTCAATGATAGGGACATAACTGCTAAGTATATTGTAAAAATATGTGTAGAAGTGGAGATTTTTTATATTAGTATTGTATACTGTAAAAATACATCTCGAGGTGGAGGTTTATGACATTGTATAGAGTACTTTATAAATACATGTAGAGGTGGAGGTTAATGCCATTGTATACTTTATAAATACATGTTGAGGTGGAGGTTAATGCCATTGTATACTTTATAAATACATGTTGAGGTGGAGGTTTATGACATTGTATACTGTAAAAATACATCTCGAGGTGGAGGTTTATGACATTGTATAGAGTACTTTATAAATACATGTAGAGGTGGAGGTTTATGACATTGTATAGAGTACTTTATAAATACATGTTGAGGTGGAGGTTTATGACATTGTATAGAGTACTTTATAAATACATGTTGAGGTGGAGGTTTATGACATTGTATACCGAAAAATATGTGTAGGAGTGGAGATTTTTGATATTGTATACAGTAGAATGCGCATTTTGTAGTTTTGATTTTTATTGCTTCATTTTAATTATGATTTGTTTAATGTGTATATTTTGAATAATTACTTTTAATAAAAAAAACAACTATTTTTGTCAAGGACCGTGGAAGGTATCGCAAAATTAAGCTGAAAACAATGGATCGCATGAATTTTACCGAGGGGAAAATAAGATGGGAAATATTGTTTTACACTTGAAACATATTTTCCTTTTAAGAGGTTAACTGTGTCTACAAATGCAACATATTGATGCTTAAAACATTGAAAAAACATGAGTGGAATGGGATGAAAATCATGAAAACAAAAAAATGTTGGTGACTGTTTCCCTGTCTCGAAGTCCAAATTATTTGATCATCTCTATGAGCACTTTTCCTTTGGATAATGCATGGGCCTAACATATGCAACTTTGTAAATCTTCAGAAAATAGCCACAATTCAACATATGACTATCTAAAATCTGTTGCGATACCTGTTTTTTTTTATACATTTCAGGTTTGCTATGTCAATACAAAAATGTTGTGAAGTCATCCTTTTGTATGTACAGCATTCAACATGTAAAGAGTTTAGGTCACATTGCTCAATGCTTTGTTAAAGAAATATTGACATTGAGTTTGGGCCTAGTAGTTTAAAACAACCCAAAGGATGTTAATTTATCTTTCCTCAGAAAATGTGATACACTGATTTTGAATAATAACTAGACAACAGCAATGCCAAAGCGTAGCAAATCCCATCAGACAGCCATGGCTGGCATATTTACAAACAAAGTATATAGCAAAAATGGCAGCCATTTTTCAAAATGGCCGCCTTCTACCAAAATAGTCATTAGACAGTGTGCCATGCTTAAAGTATTCACATACCAAATATGAACAAAATCGCTCCACTACTTTTCGAGTTATAGTAAAATTCATTAAAATTGGCGGCCATTTTTCAAAATGGCCACCTTCTACCAAGTGTCATTAGACCATGTGCCTTGCTTATAGTATTTACATACCAAATATGAACAAAATGGCTCCACTACTTTTCGAGTAATAGTAAAATACGTTAAAATGGTGGCCATTTTGAAAAATGGCCGCCTTCTACCAAAAGTGTCTTTAGACAGTTTGCCATGCTTATAGTATTCACATACCAAGTATGAACAAAATCGCTCCTCTACTTTTCGAGTAATAGTAAAATACATTAAAATGGTGACCATTTTTCAAAATGGCTGCCTTCTACCAAAAGTGTCATAAGACAGTGCACAATGCTTATAGCATTCACATACCAAATATGAACAAAATAGCTCCACTACTTTTCGAGTTACAGCAAAAATCGTAAAATAACGAGTAAAGGCCGCCATTTTTCAAGGTGGTTCCCATGTGCTTTTTTAATATCTACATTTCTAGCTTTATTAATGTCCTATATAATTTTTTACAATTAAAACATATTGCTACTACAGTTTTACATATTGCACCTAAATTACTGTAAAATCGGCACTAAAATGGCCGCCATTTTTAAATGAGTGGCCATTTTGAAAATCGGCTTTTGAGCAGAACTTCTACCCCCATAGGGTATATGTGTACAAAATATGAACAAAATCAGGTCAACGGTATTTGAGTTATTGCCCGGACGGACGGATGGACGGAGGCGTTCCCTATATCCCTCCGAACTTCGTTCGATGGGATAATTAATTTATGTGAATATGCTGAGATTGAAACAGTCAGCAATAACATTCATCTTGCAAGAATAGTTGTATGTTTGTTCATGTACGTTTTTCAAGAACATAGCCTAGTTCTATCCAACGTGTTATAGCGCAGTTCGAATGGGGCAAACTGGAAAATGGTAGTTTGAGTGAATGTTTTTTTTTCATTTTATTTCTTATTTCATGTGTAGAACACTAAAAGTGTACACTAAGGAGATCATGTAGCTTAACATTCTTTTTTTACAATAACGTCACTGACTCAATGGACCTTCCTTTCTTCCCTGCTATCTCACTTCAACAGTAAAACTTTTGTACGTTGAACTGAAGCTACTTATCAAAGGTGTCTCTTGTAAGGTGTTCCATTAACAGTGTAACTTGTAAGTCTCTTTTGAAATTTAACTCTGTCCACGAAAATAAATCATTTAAAATTTTCAGAATTTGTCAAGTAAAGTTAATATTTTTTCTTGTTCTTGTTCCTTTGTGGCTTCATCTCTGGCATCTCCGATATTACCTGCATATTCTGGAAATACATTTTTTGGTAGTGTTTTAACCAAAATAACTTTGATCTTTTAGATGAATTATGTTTTCATTAAGACCTGCTCTTGCATCAAATCATACAATAATGCTAAATCAGAGGAACTTATATTTAGGTCAATATTGATTTCATATCTACAGTATTATCAATGAGGTATCATATTAATCTGCTGTTTTAATAACATTTAAGTATTTAAGTTTCCTTATGCACTTTGAATGCATTAAATCATATGGCAAGTCAAAAATTGCATTTCTAATTTACAATATATTACACCAATTCTGGCATAGTCGGAAGTCATTGCAAAATTAGTGGGTTGCATCTTAATTTTGTGCAACCCTGTATTTTAAGCATACAAATCTTTCCATAAATGTATTCATAGATATTTGTCACTCACCTCTCATTATACTTCTTATAGTTTTCACTGAACCCCCTCTTAAGTTAAGAATTTGTAAAACTCGTTGTTTTACCTGGAATCAAATATCAAGCTCAGACTTTTTGCAACAATTTTTGGTGAGCAGTACATGACTGAAGGACCCTTTGTTCCCTATTGCTCACCGATCAACAGATATACAAGGTACATATTGGCTTTTACATGAAATGTGAAACACACATATGTTCACGATAGCCCGAGCTGTAAATCCAGCATGGGAAAACTTGCACCAGAGGTCCATTTTTAACCACTAAGAGACTTATCCAAAAATGTTGAAAAAGATATCCACATTAAACATGATAAATCAATGAGTTGGAGTTTAGAGACTGGTATCTAACAACTCACCCCTTGTAAACTAGCTGCGCATATTTCAAGAATTATATAATCTATAAGTTGTAGTGTAAAAAGACCAGCATCTAACCGCCTGAGATAGAATTCATCTTCCAATTCTTCATCCACATCTCCTCCATATTTAGCCATCTCCTGTAAAACATTAACAACATGTACATTTATATTTGTGTTCTGTGTTTTGTACATGCTTAAGTACAGGGTGGCCCAAAACGTGGGCCCAGAATTACCTCAAATATCTTCTACATTATATGTGCTTTCAATATCATATTTTGTGTGTTTTCTCAAATCGCAGTGCTGCATATTAATTAAGTGTATTTTTCATGATGCTATGAACTTCTAAAAAGCACATATACAGCACATTGTAAAATGTAAAAGGTTTGTAACCTTTGTAAGTCAACAAAAATATAGACCTTATAGTTAATGCAAGTGACTAACACAGTGACTTACAAGGCATTAACATACAAAATGTCACCACCTACCATTTGTTACAGATGCTGAACATCAACCACCAAACAATCTCCACAAAAACGTTTGAGATTATAACAATATGTGACCACATCTGGCGGTGATATAATAAACTTTAAGATATAACAAGAAACATACCTGCTTTTCCTTTTCAATGGATTTATCAACTAGTTTCACTTTGTCTAAATATTTGAAGTGAAGTTCCACTAATCTGTCTACCTGCAATACAAATAAGTTACCATAGAAACCAACAGTATCATAGAATTAAAGCAAGATACCATAAATATTATATATCTGCCAGAAGTTAGGGTATTTCAGTGGCGTAGCCAGCAATTGGTGACCAGGGGTTCGATTTTTTATGTATCCACAAATCTCCCCCCCCCTTCATTGGTGTACCTCATATAAAAGCATCTTTTTGTATTTGTCATACATACAATTTACACCCCTCCAAAAGTTTGGCAACAATTTGATTTTCTATATTGAAATAGTTTTTGGTGACTCTTTTACTGAAAAGATATTGAAATCTGGTAGCAAAACCATACATTTTAACACTTGTTTAATTGTTCAATGAAATCCAAATCAAGGGTTTGCATACATTGAGGCAACTTTTGTTAAGGGCAAATTATAACATATCTTTAAGGAACATATTTTTTAACGAGCTACTACTCAAAAGAATTTTATTTGCTATTTCATTTTGTAATAGAGGAGTTCATTCATAATGACCTTATGAACTTACAGTTAGTTACTGAATACTAGTACATGTATATTCAAACGCAAAAAATTTTGAAGAATGTAATACTTATTTAATCATGACGCACAATAAAAGTCGTAATGGCTGCATGAATACTCTCAATTGGTACTGACAACAAAAGTGACAGATGACAAATAGTATTGTATTAATAGAATGTAACATAGACTGAAATTCCAAAAAGACCAAATTGAAATAACAATATATCCACTGTGCTCTGTAGGCTCTAACATTAAACATTTCTTTTAAAGGTCCACATGCAGTACGGCAAGTGATTTTAGACAGTCATATCTTTCACCATGAGTACTTTCTGGCCATAAAAACAATGGTTTTTATTAAAACAATATGTTTTCTTTCAAGTGAAGTCCCCATGATAGTAAAATATCAATCCAACTCTCTGAAAATTATGGATTAGGGCCCCACCCTGGCACTTTTTAAAAAATGTTAGGCTTATTTTCTAAAAAGAGGATCTTGCTTTTCTCAATTTGAACATATCAAAAGTTTCTTCTACACTATATGAACAACTTCTGAGAAGGGGATGCATATTGAAATGCGTTAAAGTTAAAAACCACATATCCCATGTTATTTTGTGCTATCCATTGTTTTCAGCATCATTTTGGTCATCGAAAATTGATATCTTCAAAACTAGACTTTCAATACCATTACATTTTTGAAGATGTTTTAGACCCCTTGTTGAATAATTTTTTCATGCAATAAAAATCAGAAAAAGGAGATCCTCTTTTGAGTAAATAAATTCAATATTTTGAAAAAAAATGTTGACAAAAATATTCATAATTTTTCGAATTGTTCGATTGATATTTTTATCATCATGGGTACTTCACTTGAAAGAAAACATATTGTTTTAATAAAAACCACTGTATTTATGCCCAGAAAGTACTCATGGTGAAAGAAATGACCGTCTAAAATCACTTGCCATACTGCACATGGTCTTTTTAATGCCTTGCAACAAAGAACAACTAATGCTGAAAAACCTATTTGTTCTTTCTTTGAATTGAAAATAAAAATTTGATAACGTTCCATTTTCTATCACCATTCCGCTGTTTTAATCATTAATGATGAGAATCATGAACGTTTTGAGAAATGAAAACATTGTAGATGAACTTGTGAATCATTATAAACTTTAATTTGTTTTTGGGAAATGAACATTTTATTATCTTATTAAAGAATGCTGTCAAATCCTTTTTAGACACACGATTTGAAACTTGTGGTAGGCTAATCCTATGGTCTTTCTGGCAAATACATTCCCCTCCAAAAGTTTGGCAACCTTAGCTCCCTGCCTCCTCTTTATATTTGAATTTTTATTTTCATAGCCTGCGAGGAATTCATACCAGCAATATTCACTTCACATGTTATCTCCTATGTGATAACTTTCAATGCATACCAGCAATATTCACTTTACATGTTATCTCCTATGTGATAATTTTCAATGCATACCAGCAATATTCACTTTACATGTTATCTATGTGATAACTTTCAATGCATACCAGCAATATTCACTTTACATGTTATCTCCTATGTGATAATTTTCAATGCATACCAGCAATATTCACTTTACATGTTATCTCCTATGTGATAACTTTCAATGCATACCAGCAATATTCAATTTACATGTTATCTCCTATGTGATAATTTTCAATGCATACCAGCAATATTCACTTTACATGTTATTAGGGGTGAGACGAGTCGAAAAAATCCGATTCGAGTCGAATCCGATTCGAGTCAGAAAATGACGATTCGAGTCAGAAAATGACGATTCGAGTTTCGAATCCGTTTCGAGTCAGATAAAGTGCGAACAACATCGCTTTTGACCGTTCGTATTTTTAATTCGTCAATGGTGGAAAGCCGGAAATATAAACAAACACAATTCGTCGTAAGTTTATTCTGATTTTATTACATATATTCTTTCATTTATGTGTACATACAATATAATAATTTAATACAAGCATATCCAAGTCATTGAAACTTATATATTCAACGCAATATCGAGTAAAAACATGCATATTGACAGTATTTTTCTGAATTTTTTTATTTTTTCGAATTTTTTTCTCAACTCGAAAATGATTCGATTCATCAACTTTGACTCGATTCGACTCGACTCGAAGCCCCAAACCCGCAAGTCCTCGACTCATCGGGTTGTTGTCTCACCCCTACATGTTATCTCTTATGTGATAACTTTCAATGCATACCAGCAATATTCACTTTACATGTTATCTCTTATGTGATAACTTTCAATGCATACCAGCAATATTCAATTTACATGTTATCTCCTATGTGATAACTTTCAATGCATACCAGCAATATTCACTTTACATGTTATCTCCTATGTGATAACTTTCAATGCATACCAGCAATATTCACTTTACATGTTATCTCCTATGTGATAACTTTCAATGCATACCAGCAATATTCACTTTACATGTTATCTCCTATGTTATAATTTTCAATGCATACCAGCAATATTCACTTTACATGTTATCTCATATGTGATAACTTTCAATGCATACCAGCAATATTCAATTTACATGTTATCTCCTACCTTTTCATAGTCATTCTCCATGAACTTGTTTAGAAGTCTCTGCCGCTGCTGACTCAAGCAGTTCTTCATCAAACTGGCAATGATTGACACAATGTGTTCTGAAAGCATATGATACATCCATTGTAGATTCATTTGTAGCATTCATATTGGGTAGTCTAAACCAATATGTAAGATTGATTTTGGTTACAGTGCCATCTATAACATTTGGCATGAGATAACAGTATGTGCGAAAGAGTTTTTAGAAAATCATAGATATAATATCTCATTAAACTTTCTTTGTAATAATGTAGGCTTAATAACAAGATACGACAACATCTATTCAACAATATTCAGTACACTATATATAACCAATATTTTTTATATTCCGTGGAAATAACAACAAACATAATTTACAGTAAGTTTGAAAGTGTAATTGATTATGAACTTACCCTCAACTTCTTCCTCTCTGGCCCCCTTCTTGTTTCGCTTTGGAGTTTTCATGAACAGCGGGAAAATACTCCGGAGCCCAAGAATGTCTATAAACTTTTGACAATTATCAGAACCCTCAGGTCCCGTCATAGAATGGTCTAGAACTTTGATAGAGCTAAATCGTGACATCTTTTTCTCCCTAAAATAATGTAACAGAATCTTAAATGGTATTTTTTTGTCCCAGTTTTCCAATTTTGCAGAACACTAGAGACCGAATTTGTCTTGGTACCACTCTAGTTTTGCAAAATCTTATAATGGGATCTTTATCTCTGCAGAATTCACATGTTTATAATGTAAAACTCATCACTTCAACCTGCACAAAACTTGGAGGGGTGATTTATATAAAATATACAAGTGGGACACTTTTGGGCAAAACCAAGGGCGTTCCACTTGCACAGGTTTTACTGTATTTACCTGAGCATGAGATTCATCAGTTGTAGCCCTTCACCCTTTAGGAACTTGTCTCTGTTAAGTGGGAATAGCAGGCAGGAACACACACAGTTGAACAGATTCTCCATCAATTCAGTTTCTTCACTGGTTATAGGGTCGTGTCTTTTATAGGCCTATATTAGCAATAATTGCAAAATCAGTTTATTATTAATTATTAATATTCACTGATGTTCATATTTGCATTTGGATATTTGATAGTTGAAGTGTGCAAAAAATTAAAAAACAAAAAATTGGATTTAAAAAGAAAATTACAGTACTAACTCTTATATCATGCATGGGAAAGTCCATGTGTCATGTAACAACTATCAATATACTAGTGTAGACACATCCTCTCCAAGCACCATTCATCATGCTAAGTCTGACAATTTTACTGGTCTTTCTGAGACATCAAAATTTAGGAGTCTACTTTGATATTCAATCCAGTAAAATACAGAAATTTTACAACAGATACAAGGAATTAACATGTAAAATGTCACCACCTGCCATTTGTTACAGACACTGACCAATAAACGCCGAACACCAACTACCGTCCACAAAAAAATTCAGATGGTGACATAATAAAGGCAAAAACAGTACTCACCGCTAATTGTTGTAGTAAAATATCTATTCCATCATTCTCTCCAACAAGTTCTCGAACCTCTGAAATTATTTACCAGAATTTATTACATTATGAAGATCCTCTTTAAATTTTTATGATTTCAAATAATTTTGAAACACTGAATGCTTTAATGATAATTGGTACAATTTAAGTGCCTTAACATGTTTCACTTGGGAGGTGTTCCACTTACAACAGTTCATTTAACATTATGCCAATTGGTCGTGGGATTCTGAAATGTTCAACTTATGGAGGTATTCTACGTATAGAGGTATTCCATTTGACAGGTTTTCTGTAATTTGTTTGTTTAGATTTTAAATTCAAATTTTGATGGATGATTTTAAGTTACCTATAGTGTCTTGTAGTAAGATTGCTAGTATTTCACTGGCATACAACTTGTTGCTATCAAATGGCATCTTTGCCTGAAAAATATGAAAAATGAAGAATTTATCATATGAAAGTGTTCCTTGCAGTTCAGTTTATATTCACCTTAAGATAGTGACAAAAGGTTACCATTAAGTTCTTTCGAGATGAGACTCCTGACTTATGCTAGAAACAGAAAGCATCAATTTCTGTGAGTAATTATATTGACTTCTGAGACTTCAGATCAAATACTTCATATCAAGCAATACATAGCCACTTTAATGTCACAATCAAGCAACTAAGTTTTACCTTTAATCTTTTTAACAGCCAGGTTAAAAGATTTTGTTGTGCTGCCTCTGAGCAAATATCTGGTCTAAACTCCAGGATGTTTTCCATTATTGCTGTAAATAAAAAAAACAAGTCAAAAACATAACATATCTAACTAGTATAAGGTATAATAAAAAGCATACTACCATATCAATTATCAATAACTTGATTTCGCAAAGGGAAACAATGACCAAGTTACTTTACTAAAATATAAATTGCCACCTTCGCCCAAAACATTATCAGTTCTAGATTTCATACAAGAGAATATGAGAAATAATTTCACAATATTTTTTACATTTGATGCCATGCCTTTTTTCAAAAGTCTAAAACATTTCAATTGTTAAAAAGAAAATAGAGTTCAACTCTTGAATCTTAAAAAATGTTTATATTTGATCACATATCTCAATTCTTTCTGGATAATAAAAAAATTAGGATCATAAGGGAAACACTGGGCCTGGCACATTTTCTTTTGAAAAACAGTGTCTCTTATTTTCTATACTTCCTATTCGTTGCTGCCACTTTAAATACTTTAAACAAATTGATGAACGTTTGTACTGTTAGTAAAATTGTACATACCAAGTGTGTTGAATACCCCATCTGATTCTTCAGAGACTCATTCGTCTAACCGCTCCATGTTCTGTATAAGTAGAGCTACAACCTGACCCTCCCACTGGAATCATCAATAAATATCATGTTATAAATATTATGTTTGTAAACAAAATTTACATGCAGTAAAACTTGTCAAAGTGGACTGCCTTTGTAATGATGTGAGTGAAAATGAAATAATCAATAAGTTTAAATAAAAATTATGAATTTATGTTTATACATACATCATGCAGAGCAATATTAATAAGGCATAAACATACAAAATGTCACCGCCTGCCATTTGTTAAAGACAACAACTGTCAAACACTAACCGCAAAACACCATCCACGAAAAGTTGGGGACTAAAACAATATGTCTCCACTTGTGCTGATGACATAATAAACTTGTGCAGTGTTTCCCCGGGATGTTTTCTCAAGTGAGTGCAAAACTTTTTTTTATGCAGTGGACACTTGTTATTTCAATACAAGAGGGACAACTGACATGTTTAGTATTTCATACATCTACATCTGTTAGTTCTTTTAATAAACCATAGTGTTGCTCTTACCAAGGCTTCTATTAAAGCAGCGCCCCCTTCCTCATTCTCATTTAATGTTTCTACATCTGTTAGTTCTTTTAATAAATCAACAACTGCTATGGAGATATCTAGAATAATAAAAAAATCAGTTATTTCTTATTTTTCAATGAAATTCTAAAAAGTGGTATAATTAAACTAAATTTTGAAATTTTGACAATTTAGCAATGTCATACTTTTATATGCAATGACTGTTTTTCCAAAAATAATACAACAGTATTATATCATAAATAATACAATTTCATAAACTGCATCTATCATACATTTGGCAATTAGATATTAACTGCCTGTTTACTAGGATTATTGACATGGGTTTTTATATTACAACTAACTCTCAAGCAGTAAGATTGCTGTGTCAAATTAAAAGAGATTGACTCATGCAGAAATAAGATTTGACAAGAGAGATTTTCAAACATTTAAGTGCCAGATGATGCAAAACTAAATCTCATTACCTGTGTTTTCATGTCCTAATAACTGCAGTAAAGACTGAACAGCATTGAGATCAACCAGGATCTGGTACATATCTGGCATAGTGGCAATTACATGCATCTCTTGAATCATATCATTCAGCTCTATCTCAGACTCCATGAACCTATAGGCAAATCCACATAAATCTTTTAAAATTTTGAAATTCTTTCGAAACTTTAAGCTGATGATTTTTGCACAGTTAAAAGTATATTTAAATTTTCATGGTGTGTAAGATTTCTAAAAATTTCTTGAATAATTTAGAGTGTCGTCTTCATGCCTACAGACTGACTGGTTTTATTTCAAGCAATTCTACTCGTTCAATAAACACTCTTTTTGTAAATAACATTTGCAAAATAACAGATGGTATGATATTAAACTAATAACTTGATAATATACATATACCTTCAAATTATAATATTTCATTAATACTTACTTTTCGGGAAGGTCAGGATATTTGATTCGCAATTCTTGGTTTTTGAACACACGTTTTTCAAAGTTCAGTATCATTCTTTTAACAGAAGTGTCATCAAGGGATTCAGACTGCAATAACAAAGTTTAAATAAACTACAATACTTAACCACCAGTAAACCTCAAGAGCCCAATTAGGAGTCTATGAGATTATGGTGTATAAAAATAATAAATGTATCAAATGTGTTCAAATGTATACAGATGTGACGACCGGCGATCAAAAGGTGGTAAACCCTTGATCTTTTCCGATCGCTGGGCGTCAGATTATCCCTTCCGATTGTATATTATATTAGTTAGAGTTAGTCTAGTGTATATATTTACCTTGTATTTTGAGAAATTCCAGTAACTTTCATATTTTCCTTCGTGTTTTGTTTATACGGCCATATTGAAAATGGCGGAATCAAGTATTTTACTTTTCCAGTATTGTCGTTATGGCCTTTACAGTATTTCACTTATTGAATCAATATTTTGTATTATTGTATCATTTGTATTTTGTATGGCAATATGTTGCCGATAAGAATGTACTTTTTAAGTCAATTTGTATTTGTTTTATTTAGTAATTTCGTTTAACCATTTCCTGAATTTAGTTTGGGATTACAACCCCTGTATTATCATAGTGGCACACTCAGTGCAGGTGCGCACGCACTTTTATTACTTTAAATTTGGCCCTATTCAAAACTTTGAATAGGCGATTAGTCTTAGTCTGGAGTGTAGTACCCTAGTAGTCATTAGATTTAGATTATCCCCCAGGATCAAAGGGATGATTCTTAGATAATCCTTATTTAGAAGAATCATCTCTTTGTTTGGTGCCTGGTCCCAGGGCCAGGTACCACACTAGATTGGTAAAAAGTGGTATATCTGTCTGATTTTGTTGAAGCCATTACACTTTTCGTCAAGACCTGGAACAGCCAACATCAACTGCAACTTTTTGGACTCTGTCATTTTGAATCATCTGAACTTTTATTCTAACTTATAACTTTGAAATTTTAACAGTATTTAACTTGGAAATCTTAACAGTATTTTACTTTTGGACAACACTTTGGATCGCTTTACTTTTGGATATTTTATACTATGGCTTCAACAAGGACACATGTAGACGAACAATGGGTAAGCCACTTTTAATTAATCTAGTGCCTGACTTTTAACTTTTATCATATTGTATTTGTGCTTAGTATAACGTAATTGTATTTTGAACTTTGTTTATTTTATTCAAATAGATCTGTTAAAGCTTACTTGATTTGTTTCTTGATTTATTACTATATAGTTTTATACAGTTGTGTTTATCAGTACACCTCATATCCATTCACCTTTAACCCCCGTTCACACAAGTTTACCTTCATCTTAGACACACCTCAATTCATTTAACTTCCACGCTGCCATTTGTTTAAATTCACCTTTTTCATTCTATTTTACCCAGTTCCACACTACCATTTATTGTTGTTGTTATCACGCTACCAATTGTTATTTTTGTATTTTCCCCCATCCACTGACGACCTTTGATTTCGTTTTAATTAAATTTGTTCCCGTTTATTATTATTGTTTAATTATTACCCCAGGTCGTCACACATGTATATACTGTATGTATGAATATATTAAATGTTTTGGGTATAAAAAGGTGTGAGTTTGGCAGAGAGAATAAAGACACTTTCAGACTAGCAGAGATAATACATTTTCAGACTATGTATATAAACTTTCTGTTGGATTCAGCAATATTGACTTTAAACATCCCCTGTATCTTAATTTTTTAAGTAAATAAGCACTAAATGAACACATTTTCATTAAAAAAATCACTTCATCTTTAAGTTATATCATGTGCAGTATATTTACCTCTCCTCCTTCTTCAACCATTTTTATAATCTTTTCTTTCTCATCTTCTGTGATAACCCCATTAAAAAATCATTCATCTTTGAAGTTTCATCACATGCAGTATAATTACCTCTCCTCCTTCTTCAACCATTTTTATAATCTTTTCTTTCTCATCTTCTGTGATACCCCCAAACCTCTTCTTGTATATGGTGCCTGCTTCATCCTCTGCTTCCAATTCAGCCTTGCGCTTGAGAGATGACTTCTCTGGCTGCAATACAATGCAAACATAATTGGTCAAAACTATACATTCACATCATTTTTCACTTGTAACATTACCTTGCTTTCAACATTACCATTACCAAGAGACAAATTTTACGAGGACTGCAACCCAAGCGATTTGTCTACTGCTTGTGTTGTAAGCTGGTAAAACATCCATACAGAATATCCATTCAGAAACTAGTCCTTCACCCCAAGACATTTAGACAACAAGAGTAAGTCATAGTCTATCTCTTTGAGAATATATTGGTAAGACTGACTGACTTATGATTGAATGTTGCTATTATTTTCATTTTGTCTAAAATTCTTCTTGATAAATATGAATTATTCCTTTGTCAGAGTATGAATGATGATCAAAATGAGGCTAAACGAATAATAGTCTTGATACCTTGACCACTGAACGAATATTTTTGAAGAAATGGTTAATAAATAAGGTAAAGATCAGCAAAGTAGTGTTACCTGAAACTGAAGAACTTCGCCGACGTCCATGTTGGATTTAGAATTACTCTTCTGCGCAGATCTTAGCGCATCGTCAATTTACCAGCAAAGTATCTAACATTGAGTACACATATTTTCCTGAGTATTTCTATACATTACAATAAACAAAATGGGATACATAATAGTATGTTTTTTGCCCTACTTCAAGAGATATTCGGAGTCAAAAATAGCTTTCTTTTCCCACATTTCCGGTACACGTGACAAGTTTTAACCAATCAAATTTTGCTAATGGCGGTGAAGAAAAGTGTGAAAAGATTTACAAATCTTAATTTCTGATATATACAGCAAAATAACCAACGAAAGACGTTGATCGCAGTGATAAAACCTACACTAAATATCGATGCTCTATTTGGAAGAACATATTACAAGTTGAAGGTCTGTATTCGAATTAATTTCAAGGTAAAACTAAAATGATAAAAAAATATCAAAAAAGTGAGTTGAACAAATCACATTTACCTTACAGTTTGGATCTGGAAGTTAAGACTTCCTTCAAAAATATGGAACATAACGTTCACTTTCCACAAACGAGAAGCTCGACTCTAGTCTGTGGAAAGAATGGTTGATTGGAATAAATGAGATGTACATTACATATAGAGTAGATTTCATGGCCTGACTTCGTTGGTAGAACTTGAAACATAAGATTTACCTGAAGATTAGGAGTCTTACTTACCCTCTTGAGGTTAGAACACACATTTTAATGAAACTCTATCACCTTTGTTGCATCAACTATAGAGCATTTAGCACAATATCCAAGAGGTAAATTATAGATTGTGAAAATGAATGATTTCCTAGTAAGTTCCGGAAGTTTCAATACGATAAATTACCGAACATTTGTGAAAATTTAATCTTTGTTCGTTGATTTTATAATTTACACGTGCGTGTATTCGTGTACACTTTGGTCTGAATTATAAAGCATCACAAACAGGTCCTAGAATATTAATAGACTAATACAGCTGACAACCCATTCATACTTCCGCGCAGCATTTCATTCAGAAAAATAGTTCAACTGTAGATCTATGCACTTTTCCTATCTTAGAACAGGCCATCCTCCTCTGCCCTGTCCTAAACTCGTCTGCAGAAGAGACCACAAAATATTATTTTCAAATATTTTAATTATTTTTACATCAGACATGGTTGGATGATACGTCACAAAATTAAAGTTCAAGGTCAATACAGTATTTCGTGATAGAGGCTAAGCCGTCCCAGAAGTAAACACGAGGAAAATGGAAAAGTCCAAAAAGCATTAACACAAATTTCAATCAAGTACTGTGCTTATGCTTCATCATGAACAAAACATAGCTGATATGGTTTCATTAAAATGTGTGTTCTAACCTCTAGAGGGTAAGTAAGATTCCTAATCTTCAGATAAATCTTATTTTTCAAGTTCTACCGACGAAGTCAGGTCATGAAATCTACTTTACCGCTCAGGAACAATGACTGGAAATATTTTAACAACTCAAGAGGTACTTCATATACCTTACCATTGTTATTTATGTTCTTCTAAGGCTTCCACTATATTGCAGCCTTGCGCCAATCATAAATTAAATTTGAAAGCAACCAGCCGCCATTTTTTCACCTCACAATTTGAATTGCGAGTTTTGGTCTTATTACCTCGCAAAAACTTTCAAAACACACACAACAAATCTTTTGGATTGTTACTTTGAATTTACTGCCAGCGTAATGTCAGACTTAAACACCATTTCCATCGGGTTTTGTCGCTGTTGTTGGATATCTGCCATCTTTCTTGGAGTCGCCATGTCTTCTAGCCAAGTCATTTGGCCAGAGACTTGAGTAAATTGATATTTACCTTACAGTATACACCAATGGTTCTGGAAGAAGGATGTTCCCTATATGATCCAGATAGAGCTGGCATCGAATAGGATTTTAATGTCGATATGTCGGAGCTCTCGATCGACAACGATATCGACATTGTCCGGTCCAATGATATTTGAAAAATGAAAAAAAATTAGAAGAAAATCCGTCTGAATTTTAGATTTTCTAGGCTTGTAATTAGCAATACGATGCACAATAGTCATCCTCAGTTGTATGTATTATATTTCACTTACAGGTAAACCATGTTTAAGTATCAGACTTTGACGAAAAAGCAATAAATAGACATAAAACTACGATTTCTGTTGTTATATCCGGGCAGCCATTGAAAATAAATCTCGAGGGTAAATCTCGAGGGGCCCCGAGACCTAATTCGAGAGCAGGAAGTCGATCAAAACAAAAAAGGAAAATTTGAAAATGTAGGCGGTAAAACTTCAGTAAAATACACCATACAGCAGGTAGTAACAAAGATTTTAATTCATAGGTAAATAGCTTATTATGTTGTGAGTTCCGACTGTCGATCAAGAGGCGTTGTGTCGACATGGGTGTCGCAGAGAGCATTCGACTGACAATCGACCATTCCGACATTTGATGCCAGCTCTAGATCCAGATCTTTTTATGTTGTTGTGTTTTACTAATTAGGTTTGGAGGGGAGAAGTGTTATCAATGCTCACTGGACATCGGTTTTGAGAAATCTTTAACTAATTTCAGAAGAAAAGGATTGATATTTTTCAAAAAATTAATATCATCCATCTTTAGCATGATTTACACAAAATAATTCCTACCTCAATCTTGCTATTCTGATACTGTAAATGAAAGATCATTGCAAAATTCATATGTTGATGCACGCTCTGCCTTATTTTCATAAATGGACCAATCAGATTGCAAGACACATAAGCCATGATGAAATAGAATGGGAATTTTTCTTTCATAAGCTGGTGTATGTAATCAGCTTATGGAAGAACTTCCCTCTATTTGTGCATAAACCTTTCAATCAAGATTATTGACTTTCTTTTTTTTATTTGTTTTCTTAAGGTATGGATGCATCGACCATTGACACGCCAAACAATGGGGCTGATGTTCCTACTTCACCAGAAAAAAATGCTCCTGCGTCTCCTGTAAAGGTGCCTACATCTCCAGAAAATAAACTTGTATCTCATATCGATGCTCCTGCATCACCTGATGGGAATTTTTCACCAAAGCCGTCCTTTACTTCACTTGATGACACCCCAGCTTCCCCAGAACCAGAGTCTTTAACAACAGATATATTGCCAAGTTTAAATAAACCCTTATCTCCAAAAACATTTGAAGATGCTCCCCAGAGTCCTGAGGAATCTCCTATGTCACCAGATGGAGATAACAATATGGAAACTGCAAATGTTGCTACACCTGCATCTCCTGACCAAGAAGCAATGGACGATACACCTCAATCTCCTGAGCCAGAAAACATGGAAGTTTCATACACCCCCATGTCCCCAACTGAGGCACCTAAGTCACCCGAAGCCCCTGCTTCTCCAGACATTGAAGCACCTGCTTCTCCTGACATTGAAGGTCCAGCTTCCCCAGATATTGAAGCTCCTGCCTCACCTGAAAGAATGGGACCTACCTCTCCAGAAGCTGAAGGTCCAGCTTCCCCAGACGGTCCTGCCTCTCCTGATGCAGAAACTGACTTCGCCCCATTGGTGCCTACTGATTCTGAAGCCAGGTTTGATGAAGCCCCAGCTTCTCCAGATGATCAAGGAGAATCAACAGAAGCAATATTTACTCCTCAGTCACCTGATGAGCCTCCTCCTGAAAAAGACTCTCCTCAATCCCCTGTAGAGGGTCCTGCTTCTCCGGATGATATACCAGCTTCTATAGAAGACAATTCAAAATTATTTTCACCCAACTCTCCTCTAGAGCACCCTCCTGTTAATAATGACACACCTTCATCCCCTATAACAAGTACAACAGATATAAATGCAATAAAAACTACTGAAGATGATATTGACGATAAGGAATCTGTAGATTTAGGCCTTGATTCTGACTCTGAAAATGAAGCTGCTTCTCCATTAAAAGAGCAGCCACAAAATACAATAAAATTTAAAACTACAAGGAAAAGATCAAGTACTGGTAGTAGAACTAGTGAAGGTCGGTCACAAAGTAGGGACGACAATGATGCTGCAGTTTTAGACTTAGGCGAATCTCATATCAATGATTTAGATAATGATGTTGTTGCTGGTGATATCATTAAAATCAGATCTAGTGTGCAGGATGATCACGGTGAACTGGATTATGATGAGGAAGATGATGAGGAACATAAAAAACAGGTAAGCCTTTTTCTGAATATAAACAATGTTGTACATATTTTCAAGTGAAATCACATGTTTTACTGCTTTTTTCATGATCACCACTTATAGTAGTAAAGGGCTTACACGTTTCTTGTCTCCCCTCCATATGCTATATATTTTCAAAGCTTTATAGTGAGAGAATGTGGGGAACACACAGATAGTAATGCAAAACTATTTAGTGAAGTACAACAATGTATTTCCTGTACTGGTGTACACACAAAAAGGACAAATAGATTTCATGTTAGTTGTAACATCTGGTCACATTTGGCTACAGGTTGAGTGCTAAATCCAAAACCTCTGGGCTACCAGTGAATGATGGTAGGGATATACATGTCAGTGATCTCCACAGGATATTTTCTCAAGTGGGTGCAAAATTCTCATTTTCACAATTCAGACCAAAATTGGTCAAAATATGCCCATTTTTCATAATTTTTCTCATTTTCAAGTGGATGCAAATGGATTTTCAGGTGGGTTCAAGCCTATTTCCAAAATCTCAGGTGGGTGCTGCATCCACTTGCTTTAATACTGGGGAGATCACTGCATGTAAATAATTATGATTGCATTAATGATACTGTTGTTCACATAGGGAGATGGTGAGATAGAAGATGATGATGGTGAACTCAAGTCAGATGATGAGAAGGAAAAGGCAGATGAGGAGAAAGAAGCAAATGGTGATGAAGATGGTGAAGTAGATGTAAGTACACATGCAATTGCCCCTACTGTCTCTCACTCTTCAGTTCTAATATATTAACCAACCATTGAACTCTTGACTTGCACTTATGTTGTAAGCTATAGGGATTTTTTCTCAAAATCAACACTAACTAACTAAATGATTTCTTTATCATCTAGCTGAATTGTTGTAAAATCTTCAAATAATCATTGTTTTCCCACGAGAGTCAGGATTAATTGCAGATAATTTTCCTGTCAGTGCCTCTTCAACAATGTAGATAATGTCCATGCTCTTGAGGAGGGTTCAAAAAGGTTCATTTATTCATTAAAACAAATTGTTTTTCAGGATGACTGTGAAGAAGGTGAAATCAAAGAAGATGAGCCTGCTAGGAGACAGTTCATACGCCCCACATGTCGCTTCTTTGTCAGGGGGGCTTGTACCTGGGGAATGCAGTGTAGATTCTTACATCCAGGCGTCAATGATAAAGGTAAGGCTTTTTAGCTCACCTGGTGATGAGCTTTTGGAATAAACGATTGTCTCTCTTCCCATGTGTGTCAACAATAGTGGCATGTTTTAAAACATTTTGATTTTGACCTTGATTTTCATTTTAAGGTAGCTGTATCCCCAGGGCCTAAAAGTTACTTTTCGATAAAGTGTATATATTTTTATGTTAAAATGACCATGACATAAATTATGCATCACCATGAATTTAATTGGTCACCTTCGTATTTTATTTAAAGCTGGAAAACATTTTGATTCCCCAAGTTATGTTCAAAATGGCAACACAAATACATTACTGGGGATAATGCATGAAATCAATCAAAATTATGTATCAATATGAAGTAAAAAAACAACAACATTTCCAATGCTGAAAAACTACACTTTTGCCTTTTTGGTCTTATTTGAATTTACTTTGCTTTGTAGGTGCATACAACATGTTGGATAACAGACCTGTCCAGGGGAGGGGCATCAAGGACAGACTTGGACCAAGGGAGCCAGAACATAGAGAGGCACACTGGCAGAGAGAGCAGGATAGAGAGGTACATTTGCCAAGACAACTATGTGAATCAACAGCATGAACTATTGTTTCTGTATCAATAATCTTGAACTGTAGTCAGTCACTTACATTGCTATTTCTAAATGTGATTTTGTATTGTAATGTCTTGCATTCATACCAATGTACTAGGTAGATAACATATGTAGTGCAATTGTATCTAGAGGTGAGGTGCATATTTTCTGTATTTGTTTTTCAAATGTCTAAGACATGCAGAAATATCCATCCCTGGGATACATAAGAACAGAAGCCCCCACATGTGTACTTTATTATCAATATATTCATTTCAGATGAGTTATTTTTGTTTTTCACAGATATTAGAATACGAGTAATAAGGTCTCGTATATATGCCTCAACTATTGGCTTTAAAATGTTAGCCTTTTGCAGATATTCGACATAGGAAAATCAACTTGTAATTCCCTGATTTTTTCAAAAAATGATGCTTCGGGATGTGGTTCAGCCATCAAAGTCTATCTGGAATATAAAATATATGCATACTAAAATCAAATATTTGGTTATATTTGTTATTTTGTGTTTTATATTTAGTCATTCAGTCATCTTTATGTGTTAGAAAACCATAAACATTATCAGAAATGCTTAGAATTTTTTTACTTTTGTTATTAATATTCTTAGTTTATTTATTTAAATCAAAGTTATTTCTTAAAACTCACAAAACAAAACACTGACTATTCTGCTCCATATCAATTTACAGCATGACAGAGAGCCCTCCCCCAGGGAAAGGGAAAGATCACCCGTACCAGCTGACTCTCCACCCCGCACTGAATCTGCCTGGGAGAGAGGTCTTAGACAAGCAAAGGAGGTTTGTACAAGCAAGTTTGTATAATAACAATCTCGTAAGATCTTTCTGTTTAGTTTTAGTCACAATTTCACAAATGACATCTGTTATTGATTCAAGACAAGAAGAATATTGAAGAGCAGGGAGATTCTTTTTCCTTATACTTATTTATAATGGGAAAAATGAAACTATTTATATCAGTATTAATTGAATGATCCTTTTATGATATGCTTTAGGAGAAAATGACTTTCATTTATCACATTGCATTTCCAGGCTATTAAGAAGGCGAAGAAAGTTAAAGAGACGGAGACAAATTTAGAAGAAAAGCGTATGAATCTTACGATAGAGGACAATAAAGAAAATGATAGAAACTTCGAACGTGATCGTTTTTACCGAGAGGAGAGATATTATAAAGATCCATATTACGATCAGGAGGTGTAAGTAATGTAATACGTCAATAAAAGTGCACGTGTCCTGATCGTATCCTGATCATGTCCTGATCGTATCCTGATCATGTCCTGATCGTATCATCGTAACACATCCGTACTGGATGAATACGAAACCCAAAAGTGAACATTTGGATTAATACGCAAAAGTAGAAAAGAGGAATGTGAAAAAAATGTGAAGAGACATTGTAGGAGAAAATGTAAAAGTAGAAAGCTAACATCGAAAGTAAAGTAAAAAAAAGTTCAGTAAAAGTAGTACAAAGTACGCGTTAAAAGTTAAAGTAGTTTAGTAAGTAAGTGGCAAAGTTCGCGATTCTGTGCTCATAACATTTCCAAATATGGAAATTATTGTGTTATGTAAGTATCATCTAGATAAAATATGGATAAGATTTACTTGTTGTTAATTTTGTTGTAATAATTATTAAAGATACATAAATGAATAAGACACTCATTTTAATGTTAAATAGGGTAATTTTGAGTAAAGATTTTGATAAAGAATGATACACTTGGCTCTTATTCATCAGTTTAATCTCATATAAGCTTGTGGACTAACATAATTTTGGTGGTGCATAATTAACATACAGCGTGACATATGTTTAATGTTATGTTTATTCACTGCATATCTCTGTTTATTAATCATTGCTTTTCAATTTCCAGAGTGCACAGGAGGTATGAGGAGGACCATTATCGTGAGAGGGAATTCCGACCGGAACATCGTCCCGATCACTGGAGGGAGGGGCATTATGAAAACTTTGAAGTTCGCTGGAATCGTCAGTCGCCCCCTCCCCATCCGCATGATTACTTCAGGGAGAGGGAACGATCCCCACCCCCACCTTACCACCACCAGGTATTAAAATAATCACAATAAGGGTGTTCACTGGTATTTAAAGATGAGTTTAAGAATCTCGAATTCTCATGAATGCAAAAAACTTTCTTGTGAGATTTCTTGCAAAATAAATAATAGTTTGTGTGATTAGTTTTTTATTGTCCACTGAATCTTTCTTAAGTTAGTGAACACCCTGTGATGATTATAGTTTGGAAAATCCTAAGCAAATATGAATATAAAGTTACATTGAGTCTATGATAAAACATCATGTCATAAGTAAATCTTGAGTATTTTCACTCTGGATGTTTATTATTTTCACTCACGAATTTTGAGTATTCTCACTCGTAAATGTTGAGTATTTTTCCTGAACTCATGAATGTTGAACATTTTCACACATGAGAGATGCTGCATTTATATCGATGAGCGATACAGATGAATTATTCATTAAAGAGGCACAGTCTATTTTCCCAAATCAACATACCCTGTTGTAGAGAAGTCCAAATGTACACCCTATATGAAGTGAGTGAGGGGAGAGAAACCATATGGATACAGAGAAAGATGGGAAATTTTGACAAAAATCAAATAATAATAACACCACTGAACTGAACTGATGACCTGACCTAGCCTGATACACATATAGCCATTTTTCCTCACTTATATTGCCATTTTTTTTCTTAAAATTCTGATCATTGGTTATAAAACATGTGAGCCTACAGTGAGCCTATGGGACCGACCAGGCGTCTGTTCGTTGGTCCGTCCATCCGTCCCTTGGTCCGTCCGTCCGTAAACATGACTTACAATAGCTGTGTGGTTTTTTGGCTCACACAGTGAGCCTATGGGATCGACCAGGCATCTGTCTGTTCCGTCTGTTGGTCTGTCCATCCGTTGGTCTGTCCGTCCGTCAACATTGGCCGCACAAATTAAAACTGCTATTCGGATTGAGTCATATCCACACTCATTTTATGCATATCCATAATGCCTATTTGACCTATCATCGCCATTTCCCAAGTTCACCCGGTTTCCGAGAAATTGCTGATTTTGACGTCAAAAAGTCAAATTTTCTGTAAATACTAGACACTCTGTTGAAGTAGAACTTTCAAATAACTTGTAGTAGTTGCTGTCTATGCAACTTATGTCCTCTGAAGATTTCAAAGCTCTTGGAATTACAGTTTTTGGTGTTTACTCTGTAAAATTTGACAAAAAGTAGTCATTTTCAGGAAACTTTCTCATGTATAAAGTCAATGGCAGGTTTTGTGATTGACAAGTTTCTCAAAGTTTGCCTCATACTTGATCATTTCTTGCAATGAATTACATCATTACTAGATTTAAGCATTCCCTACATATTACTCAATATATGTCAGCATCAAATTTTTACCAGTTTTGAGATATTTGACGTCAAAAAACAGCAAAAATAAGTTATTTTTCAACTTGCTTCAATTTTTGCTTCAATATTTTTGGAAAATCATCTACAAGTTGCCAGGAGTTCAAATCTGACATTAGTTTTAGGATTTGACCTTTACTTGACCTTCAGTGACCTTCGAAAGGTCAAAAAGTTTAGTTTTCAAATTGATTTTTGGATGTAAATTTTGGTTAGCTTAATCACAAGAGACCTTACTGAGCTCTGAATAAGTACAATTTTCAAGGTCAAAGATCATCTAACTAGGTCACACAACTGTGCTATCTAAGTTTCTCAAAGTTAGAGACTACAAATCCAAATCAATATTTTTGTTTGAAAGTCAGGATAAACATTCCTCTGAAGGTTCCAAACTGTGTGAGCACAGGACCGTGGGTCCTTTTTTATTGTCTTACCTCACCCTTGGTGTCCTCCGCTCACTTCATATAAGTTGATATTTGAACTAACTTTTTCTAAGAAGTCCTTTTGAATTCCTGAAAATCAGTTTTAAGAATAAAGTATATATCAAATCATAACAAAATTCAAAAATACACATTTCCAGAAGTCACAAAAAGTGAGATCTTCACTTTGCTCAAAATAGCTTAATGTAGACAGTGCCACTTAAAGGTTAATTATTAAAATATGCGATCATCTAACAGATTATATTTCCACTTTTAGGCAGAGATAGGCATATCCACGTAACTATACTACTCATTAAATGATAAACAGGGTTGTTCAATAAATGTGAACTGCTGCAACTGGCTTAGCCTTGCCCCAAGTCAGTATTTTTTACTTTATCTGATCTTGAATTATTACCGCCTTGTGTAATCCGATACTTTCCACTGTTATTCTGATAAATTATGCACCAACTATTACGCATGCGCTAAAGCATTAGCCAATAGCGGTAGTCGTAAACGAAAATCAATAAATAAATCAATGTGTTCGCCATGCAGTTGTGAAGTTATAACAATCATGCGGCATGCTTGCAGTCTGCAAATCCAGGTGTCTCCCTTACAAATAAAACGCATTCACCAGAAACATAATAACTTTTCATCATCCTTTTTACGGCATATCTTAACTATAAGTGTTTATATGTGAACTGATCAGTCATCAACTCTCTGATATTAAACTAAATCGGTTCACAACATTCAAATTACTTTCAATTATATTAAGCAAATAAAACGTTTATCGATTTTGCGAGGGTCATTTTCAGTTTTCCTAGCTGATGAAAGTAAAGCGAGGTAGGATTTTTCCCATTATCAAAGGTTCAAATACTAACTTGCTGATTGGAGCAAAATCAACAACCGCATTACCTCGTGTGTTTGTAACCTAAATTTAGACATTGAAAGATCGCATGCTATTGGTCAAAATCACAGACATAAACAAACTGTCGGTAAAGCATGTGGCTTTCTCTTTGGTACAAGGCGGTCATAATAGAAATCAAGATAAGTAAAAGAGACCGACTTGGGGCAAGGCTACAACTGGCTCTATTTTCCTTATTACCTGCAGGAATCCTTTCATATATCAACATGTTGCAGCGGAAGGTCTTAAGTTTTTGTTGGTACCATACATTCTTCTTAGTCTTGAAATTTATTGAAATTATAGCCCCTAGCCCAAAATTACTGAAATTGGATACGTGAGCTTATCATCCGCATAAAAGCTATTGTGATCCAAAAAAATGTTCGAAGTTTCCATAGACGAAAATGTTTCCCATTGAAATCGCAACATACCTCTATAATCATCGACCAATTCTAATGAAATATGGCTCAAAACATTGAATGTTGGATTTTCTTTTGAATTTTGTAAGATATTTATGTGAAGGGCTTCTAAGATTCTTGGTCACAGGGGGTTACCTTGCCCCCCTCTAAACTTTTGTGTAGGTAACATGCCCCTTAACTAATGCATGGTTAAAACTGCTTCAAAATGGTCGATGAAAGTGTGAAATATGTTTTCTGCTCAAATAGTGTCCCATTCATCATATGGTAGCGTTTTAAACTTATATCTCTCACTGAAAGCTTTTTTAAGATCATCCAGTGTCTTTCGAGATTTTCCATGAATCACAGTGGTAAAATATCTAATTTTCAGGCATGTTTGTTAAAGTCTTGGGATTTCTTCAAAATTCAGGACTGATGTTAAATTATGGCATCAACAAAATTTTTAGACCTTTCTCTACAAGGCGTAATAAAATGAGTCAATTCCAATTATAAGCCTGTTGCAGGAGTTCACTTTTTTGGACCACCTGTATATATGGTGTCAACTAAGTCCCGTCCCCCTGCTACAGCTAAAACCTTAAAAGATGGTATATAGTGTGATATACCATTGGAAAAACCATTCAAAGTTACATTAACTCACCAACTCTGATGAATTCCCTATTGCCTAATTTTAAAATCCTACCAAATGTGTCAACTTTTTAGTTGTATGGTCACCTTGATTGATACAAAATGTAGCAATTTGTGACATTGATTGACAGGTATCAGATTTATGCCAAATCAACATAACTTTGGATGCTCTTTGCAATGATATATCACACTTGGTAGCAAATATTTTGGTTTAGGCTGTAGAAGGGGGACAGGACTTATTTGACACCCTGTAGATTCATTTATTCATACAACTGTCTAACCCCTGGTCAATGAGCCCCCCCCCCCATCAGGAAGGTACCTACCCTTGTTTGTATGTTTACTACGATTATTTACTAACATGAATTTCAGGAACATTTTCATGAGTTTAGGCATGAGGAGAACCGTTTCTTCCCAGAGCAGCATAGACCTCCACCCCATGAGCCCCCATATAGGGAGGTCCATAGAGAAGGTCACCATGAAGTCAGATTAGATATTCACCCAGATATCCATCATGAAATGTATAGAGAAAATATGAATCGTGAAAGGTAGTGCTGCATGGTATTACCATGGTATAATGCTTATATAAGTTATATGTAGTAGTACTATAGGAGCATGCTTGCCTGTCTGGGAATATGATGGTGGATTTGCTGTTATAAGGCGTCTCATAAGGACTTGTCAAAACTTCATTATCAACCAGTTATGTCATGTTTGATCACATGCTGAAATGATAAGTTGGTCCATATTTAAATTCACCAGACATTGTCCTTTTGGTCAGTGCTAATGCCTCATCATAATTCTGTGTATCGTTTATGTGTTGTGTTGTGTCATGGGTGTGAATCAAATCTTCTATAACAACAGATTTTCCAGAATTGTCCTGAGCCTATTAAACCCACCTAAAAGGAACAGATGTTGTAAATTTATATAATGGCCATCACAATACACGTAGATGGTACACAGAATGTGAAGATTGTTCCATGGTTTTGCATGAAAAAGCATGATTTTTTTTTTTTTACCATTGTATTTCTTTGGTTGGTGATATTTGTCTGCCTCCTAAGAGTATTTTACAAAATATGTAAACAATTTGCAGAGATCTTGAAATATAACATCAAGTCAGGTAAATGTGACTTTCTTGAATTGGAACTAAACAATGAAATTGGCACATGCTAAGTTTACGTATAGTGTAGCATCCTTCAAAGAGTCTAAATGTATTGTGTTGTATGGGGATCAACATATTTTTCCTAAAAATACAAAGAAAATCTCACAATTTGGTTTAACCCATGAAATTTACAAAAAGTAGGTTATTTTCTTTGGTATAAGTAAATATCTGAGAATAAATCATGAGGTTTTCTTAGTGTTTTTAAGAACAATAGCTTGATCCCCAAAGTGGACAAATCTTGCATTCCCAACCCTTGTAAACAAGCATTTAATGTGTTGTGGCCTATCTGTTGTATGCACTGTGCTTTACTTTCAACTAGGAACCATATTGGCCACGAGATAGACCTTTCCCACGCAACTATGATGGACCACCCCGACCTTATGATAACAGAGGCCCTCCTTCCCCAAGGTTTGTTAAAATAATATTGTTGGGACTGAAAAAAAGCCAACACAAATATGATCTTCCCCATGTTAATTTTATTTGTTGAATAGGGGTTGGAGATAAATGGACCACATACCTCCCTGTCATATCCCCTGTCATTCACATAAGTCATATCGTAAAAGGTTATTCCATTCTTCATTGTCCTGATACTAATTAGCTCAGCTGTAGTCCTTCTTACGGAAATTATATACAATGTCTATTGGTTTTATGTGTCTCAAGTTCAACAGTACTTCATGCGTTCAAAGTCTTGGCTCAATGCATTCACATGGGAGGGAGCAAACACATGTTTTACAGTAAAACCTGTATATCCTGAACACCTCTATGCTGTGAACTCATCTCAATATGAAAGCTATTTTCAGTTCCATTTTTAATCTTCTATTTGTATGTGTAGAACAATGGACTTGTAGTACATGTTGTTGTTTTGCTTGCATGCTAATGCTGACTATAGTTGTTCATATTCTTTGTATTACCGCTACATGCATGGTCATTTTGATTATTTTCAATGTGGTAATTGGTCTGGTTTGGTTTTCATGGGTTCCTACATAAGGTACAGGCTGCATACTTGTTAATTATGTTTTTTTTCGGTTGATTTATGACTAAAATTAGTTTATCATGAAATTATTTGTGACACTGACATTGAGCTCTAACTGGTTCAATTCTCTTTCTCTAAAACGTGGCTGATAATGCTGATACCCAGCCACAAGCACATGTGCACTCGTTATAAAGTATTCTTTGTATAAATAAATAAATAAAAAAGAAATTCAATTCTCCAAAATGGTTCATTATGTTTCATCATAAATAAGGAGTATTGGTATTTAAAATCAGAAATAAACATGAACTTCTTTATCGTACCTAACAAAAGGTACGATATTGTAGTCAGCTTGACGGGCGGCGGGCGGGCGGCGTCTCACTTTTCAGCTTGTCTACAGTTTTCAAGTCCAAACCATTTGAGGGATTCATCTGAAATTTTCAGGGATGTTTCTACATATCAACGTCAAGAACTGATTAGTTTTTGGGCATTCTTGGTAAATCTTAAGGTGGCCATTTTGGATTTTCCGTCCTAAAATCTTCACTTTCAAGACTTGTCTACAGGTTTCCAGCCAAACCATTTGAGGGATTCATCTGAAATTTTCAGGGATGTTTCTACATATCAACGTCAAGAACTGATTAGTTTTTGGGCATTCTGGGTAAATCTTAAGGTGGCCATTTTGGATTTTCCATCCTAAAATCTTCACTTTCAAGACTTGTCTACAGGTTTCCAGCCAAACCATTTGAGGGATTCATCTGAAATTTTCAGGGATGTTTCTACATATCAATGTCAAGAACTGATTAGTTTTTGGGCATTCTGGGTAAATCTTAAGGTGGCCATTTTGGATTTTCCGTCCTAAAATCTTCACTTTCAAGACTTGTCTACAGGTTTTCAGCCAAACCATTTGAGGGATTCATCTGAAATTTTTAGCGATGTTTCTACATATCAATGTCAAGAACTGATTAGTTTTTGGGCATTCTGGGTAAATTTTAAGGTGGCCATTTTGGATTTTCCGTCCTAAAATCTTCACTTTCAAGACTTGTCTACAGGTTTTCAGCCAAACCATTTGAGGGATTCATCTGAAATTTTCAGGGATGTTTCTACATATCAACGTCAAGAACTGATTAGTTTTTGGGCATTCTGGGTAAATTTTAAGGTGGCCATTTTGGATTTTCCGTCCTAAAATCTTTACTTTCAAGACTTGTCTACAGGTTTCCAGCCAAACCTTTTGAGGGATTCATCTGAAATTTTCAGGGATGTTTCTACATATCAACGTCAAGAACTGATTAGTTTTTGGGCATTCTGGGTAAATTTTGAGGTGGCCATTTTGGATTTTCCGTCCTAAAATCTTCGCTTTCAAGACTTGTCTACAGGTTTCCAGCCAAACCGTTCAAATTTTTACATATGTTACACAGTGATAAGTTCTAGAGCTGATTAACTTTTCTGCGGCCATCTTGCTTTCTTGGTCAACAAGACCACAATGCTGTGTTTTTTTATTGATTTACTCAATTTATTTGTTTCAATATAATATATTACAAAAGTAACTATTGATTGTCTGTAACATGAAAACATTTACTTCGACACACTTAATTATCTGTAAAAAAGATAAAATTCATCAAAATATTGAATACTTATTATTTAACAAGAAAATATATCAGGGTCAAGTACACCAAGTACATAAAAATAATTTGGAATTTCTCATCAAAGAAGCCCATATATATAGTGATTGATTCAAATGAATGACAATAAAGTAAGCTGTGCCATTTTGTCTTTGTTCTTAAACCACTCTTGCATCTTTTCATTGTGTTAGGTATGAACGTGAGCGTGAACGTGAACATCTTGAGGGCCCACCCCCTGGTCACCATCACCACCGGCAACATCATCATGGACAACACAGAGATGGACGTGAGAAGCTGCAACCAAATCGGGGAGAGATCATGGTAAAATCAAGGGGAGATGAATGGATTGACCCCTGGCAGAGGTGAGATGTTACAAATGTTTACATTTGGGTCATAGTGTTTACTGGTTTGTTACATACATTTGTGCCCAATCTATGTCTTTCTCAGAGTCCATTTAAAAACTGGAACAGATGTTACTTTGCCATGTAAACTTACAGAGAAACAAAATATTTTACTTTTTGCAGTTTTTATTTAATTTTTACTCTCCTCTGCTGTTCATTTCACTTAAAATTTCCTGGTGTCTCTACAAATACACTTTTCCAAAACACATGTTATGATAGATAGCTGAGCTTCAGATCAGAGAATCAGAGAGGTCTAGATCCAATAAAATGGCCGAACTGTTAAGAGTTAAATACCTTATGTACAGCACGCGTCTTTTGCTATTTCATAGGACCAAGTCTCCCAAGAGAAAGGATGGTTCAAGGAGCAGATCTAGATCTCGAGGACGACCTAAACATCGGGGTTCAAGATCACGAGGGAGCTCATATTCTTCATATACCTCGAGGTGAGTATGCAAAATATAGAAAAATCAATCTATGATGAGTTGTTATGAATGCTTAACCAGACAGGTTTTATTTGTGTTTTGTCAGTTGATAATAGATTATATAATATTAAGGATAGCTACATGTATAATTCTGCCTATTGGTTGTTTACTTTGGTTCTTGAAAAGCATCATCAAAGTTGTCATACATTTCTGGTCTGGTATAATTGAGCACAACTGATTCCAAAACTATACAGGCTTTCTCACTTTCTTAGGATATCCTATTAAGAGTCTATGTCACATTACTTTTACATATCTAGTGAAAATGTATTTATTTCAGCTCTTTCAGTTCAAGGTCAAGGTCATCAAGTTACTCGTCATACTCAAGTCGTTCCTCATACAGCAGATCTTCATCTTTTAGCTCTAGGTAAGAACAATATAATTTTTTTTACAAAAACAAGAAAACCCTATTGAAATTAATGCTCTGAACAGTTTAATTTTAAAGAGTATTGCTTTCATGCCACTTTGTAATTGGCAATAATATGATTTAGTTTGAATACATTGAAATAAAGCTGTTAGTGTACCATAAAATTGTGAACTCTAATTTAGGTCAAGATCACGTTCAATACCTAAGAAGACGAAAAAAGGTCCAGTTGTCCCTAGTGAGGGTGTAAAGAAGGTAGCACCTGTGGGTGCAGGCCCTAAGAAGGCCCCTTCAGTGGCACAAAGACCAGGACCTCCTGGGCCTCAAAGACCACCCCCCAAGGCAGGGTAAGTTATTCATGTGTTTGTTTTTGTGGAAGCATTTGTCACATATTTGTTTTTTCGTTCTTGATTCTTTGGACATTTGCATTTTTTCTTGCTTCATTAAGGTACAATTATCACTCATGTTACATGATGAATTCATCTACATTTTTTCTCTCACTCCTAGAAAAGTATGAGTTAATGTTTCATTTCCTATTTTACTTCAGCGAGGCTCCAAGGAGTACTGTTGCTAGTAAACCTGCTATCAAACAAGGAGCAGTCAATGATAAACAACGCAAAGTGATCGGTCCCCAGCGCCCTCCAGCCCCCGCTGTTAAAGCTACAAAGCCTGCTACAGTTACCCCTGCCTCCAATCAGAAAACCCAGAAAGCAGCCCCCAAAGGTGCCCCAGTTGCCGCCAAAGCTCAGTCTAAAACGCCCATTGGAGCCCCAGGAAAGATTCAGAAGACTGCTGCTGCACTGAAAGCAGGTCAGAAAGCGCCACCTGGTGCTGCCCAGAAGGCAGTACCTCCTAAGGGACCTGCACAGCCTAGAGTTACCCAGAAAGCAGCAGCAGCAGCAAAAGGAGGTAAACCTGGACCAGTATCTCCAGCAGCTACAAGAGGGAGACCAGCTACCAGAGGGGCGCAGAAAGCAGGGTAAGTTAGAATAGAGGATATTCTTAGCTATTGTCTTAACAGTGCATCTTGACAGCATATCATCATTATTTATACTTGACACTTGCTATAAGAGATGAGCTCCTCAGGGCACCTCAGTTTTTGTGTCAATTCTACTAAAATGGGGTACATACTATTAAATTCTTCAAAATTGCACAATAAACTACTTGTTCTGTCTCACTAGAACTTTATATTTATGACACAACACTGTTCACCTTCTATCTATGTTACATTCAGAACACAGTTGGCGATCTAGCCAGAGCTCCAGTTCATCGTTGCGGAGGAGTGGCTCACCTAGTTTCCATAGCTCAATTGCCTCTAGTAATTGCATCTCAGTTAATATTTATATATCTTTGTTACACAGGAAACCTAGTCGACAATCTAGCTACAGTTCCAGTTCATCACGTTCAAGGAGTGGTTCATCTAGTTCACGTAGCTCAAGTGCCTCTAGCTATACAAGTACAGGATCTAGTTCATCAAGTGGAAGTGCAGATTCAGATCACCTTTACAGGGATATACCCAAGAATAAACCAAATGATCCAGTCACTAAGAAAGGTATGATTAAAAATTTCAGCAAGTTTAAAGTAAATTTGCAGGTTTTTCTATATTGAAGCATTTTAAAGAAGTCAGTCACCGTCGACCAATTAGAATTATGATTCGCACAGCTCTCGATATTTTTATAGAGTATTATGCTTCATTGAATATCGTTACTAGTGTGTTTGTGTTTTATCATTTTCTTTATTTGGTGGGTGATAATAGGCTGCTCTGTTTAAATTCACAAGTCCCAAAACTGCGCTTTCAAAATTTATTTTGATTACAAGAGTCAATGAATGGTCATTTAAGGAAACCGATTTTGTGTGGAACACCCCCCCCCCCCCCCAGCACAGCTTTTATATTTTATTGTTTGATTTCAGTCGTTAAAAAGGTGCCACCTGCTAAAGGTCCGGCTGCAAAACCAGTTGCTAAGCAACCTGTTGCTGCCAAGAAAGTGCCACCTGGTGTGCAAGCTAAAGCTCCAGCAAAGCAATCTGCTCCCTCTGGTCTTGCCCCAAAGACAGCCAATCAGCCTAAAGATCCACTGAAAGCTACAGGCCAGAAGCCAGCCATTAAACTCACTCTCGTGAGCAAGCCTAAGGTATGCAGACCCTCACGTCAGAAGCATTTATCAGAAATTCTAGTTAGAAAAACGGAGAAATTGCAAAAATTGGCATGTTTTGACCAATTTTGATCTGAATTGGAAAATGGGAATTTGCACCAATAACTGGAGAGAGTAGAAATGTATATTATAATGTTGGAATATTTCCAGCCTGGAGACAGAGTAAAGAAGAGGGCTGCTGATGCTAATGCTGCCTCCACTCAACCCCCTGCCAAGAAGAGCACTCCAGCCACTCCCACCCCAACAACGCCCAGTAAAGGTCAGAAATTAGTATTACATCTTTATTTTCCAATTATTTATGGATCATTTTTCAACTTAGGAACATATTATTATAAAGTTGCATAGAACTGCACAAGATGTCTTTACAAAATAGTAGTTATTTCTTTATGCCATGATAATCTAGAGGGCCAGGTCCAATACCAATCTGTCATTTGTTTGTCTCTAAAACATGCACTCCTGACATGTATATTAGTTTCGCTTTCACGACTCATGATATTAACGATGATTAATGATTTGAATTTTTTTCATTTTTAGATCCTAAAACCCCCACAAAAATACTACCTCCTATTCCCAAGAAAAAGTCTGCAGTTGAAGCTGCTAAGAAACCTGAGGCAAAAACAGCCCCTGTTCCCAAACCTGTGGCCCCCGCAGCAAAGAAAAAGAGCACATCCTCTCGCAGAGAGGAATTGTTAGCACAGTTGAAGGCTGTGGAGGATGCAATAGCAAGAAAAAGAACTAAAATGAATCCCTAAAATGTTCCCAACAATAGACCATGGTTTTATCCTTAAAAAATTACTAGGAAATTAATAATAGGTTCCTCCAACAAATAGACCATGGTCTTATACATGGAATTTGAAGAGCCCTGGAACTTCATTTTGGAGTTTCCAATGAACACATCATGGTATTGTGCTTGGAAAATGGGTTAGGGAATTAAAACAGGGTTCCAAGGCCATGGTCTTATACATGGAACATGGAAAGTCAGGAAAACTTTTCCAAGAAATGCACCATGGTATTGTGGGATGCCCTTTGTGGATAACACACACCATATTCAAGGTCAATGCATATATAATCTTATTGGAATTACTTCTAAGTTAGGAGATCCTGACAGGCAGTGCTAATAACAAGACCTTGTTTCCTGCTAGGAAATTAAAGAAAAACTCTGGTGATTTGTACAAAATTGTAACATAGTGATGAAATAGTCTTGTATCAGGCCTTTGGTTTTAGCCAGTCTCTGTTCCCATACTGAAGTTGGTTAAAGAAGGGCCTGCTACATGACTAATAAATGAATAACAATGATTTGAGACTTAAGCCTCAGTTATTTTTGCTCTATGGCGGCCATAGCATCATAAAATCGATATAGAAATTCTACGTCATGCTGCTTATCTCTACATTTTATGATGCATATTTCTTTCAATTTTTGGAAGCTGCGATTGCCGTAAGATCAAATGTGACTGAGGAATTAACGTCAGATTGTACTTAGTTTTGAAAATGCAATCATGGATGTATTGTTAGGGAACTTTCTTGATGAAAGTCCATTTTAAATAGTTTGTATAATATTTGAGAGGTATTCTTAAATTATTGTAAATGTAATGGTATGGTAGGGATAATGAGAATGGTTAGATTTCAACATGCAATTTTAGTGAAAAACTGTTCTACTCAACCCACCTATCTTTATTGTTATGTTCAATTTATCTAACCTGGAGTGCAAAGTAGTATGTAAAATCTGTCTTATGACTGAGTCACATTTCCTCCAATTCATTAGCTGGCGCCCAGTTTTGAACAAAATAGTCAATCAGCCGTGCGCCGGCCGATGAATGGGAGCAAATGTGACTGAGGCATAAGTGAAACGCCTTTGGTACTTCATAATAATATTCTCCAGGGGGATGTCCAACTCCCAATGCTTCATATTGCAGGACTTTGACAAGTGATCTATTTACTGTGGTGTTCTACTTTACAGGTTTTACTGTGCTTTGATTTTAAAGTATGTAGAATTTGTTGGATTAGAAAATATACATCAACAGCATTTTAACATATCTTTTGCATTGCATGTATTATAACAAATTAAAATTTTGATAACCAATTCATAAATAGACTCTTGAAATGGTAAGGTGGTCTCCGTTATTTTATTCCACATTACAAGGATGGATTTTAGTAAAGTTTTATGACTTGATTGTCCCATACTACTAACATGACATTGTTTTAAGTTTGTATTACTGATGTTTTGCTGAATTTATTCAGTCTTATGAAATGATAAATTAACAAACTCTGGTTCAAAATCAAGTAAACCACGAATGTTTGTGTTAATTATAAATAGAATGAACAACTCAAAATGGCATTTCTCCTTTATTTGAAGTTATTGTCTTATACCTTTGTCGTTCTATGTGACCTCTAAATTCTGAAGTTGGTGCTGCATGCAAGGTTTTATATTATGTAGCCTTGACTATTGATCTTTAATTGTTAGAAGAATGTGTCTAATTCCAGCCTATTGCCAGTTTGGAATCCCAGTCTTTAGTCATTTATAAGGACCTCTGTCCATATTCTTCAGTGGCCATCACCAAACACTCGTCTGTTTAATCCTAGTCACCAGTGTGTAATCCTAATCATTCATCTGTTGGATGCTCACATCACCTGTGTGTATCTCCATTCAAAGTTCTAATTGCTTTCACCACTGTGCAATACCAGTTGTTGAATTTAATTACAGTACCTCATCAGATGTTGAAATTGTATTATGCTGAACTTAATAATGTATAAATGAACCATGGCGAGTACTGTGAAAGTGACATAAATAGATAGATTAGGCTGCCCTTCTGCACATGTTAGTCCCTCCTGTGGTTAAAAATTAAATTTGTCATAACAATAAAAGACGAAGAATAGCTGGTATTAGACCTTTGGCTCATAAAATATTATAAAACTGGTAAGGCTGTGTACTAAATTGTGGCATGAAAGATTTGAATATTTGTACAGAATGTATAGAAAATGTATCATGTGGTAAATAAATAGAAAATATATAAATAATATTATCCAATTTCTGTGCTAGTTTCAAATTATATGTCATGGTAGGGCCAAGCAAAAACACTTTTTCAATTGCTTCGTAAGTAAACAAAAAATAGTGATTTAACTCATACAAAAATGACACATGAGATAATTATTAACTTTGGAGGTATTCTGACACAGGTGACTTTGACTGTTTTTTTTGTTGTAAGTTAAACACTGTCACTCTGTACTGATACTCTCATACCCGATGCTCATATAAACAGGAAATACTCGAATCATTTAGTAAAACTAAATGATAGAATAAATTCCTTCCACTTTACAATAGTACTGAATATACCATTGGAATGTGACAGGAATGTATGTGGATAACATAATGAACTTCTGCTAGCTGCATAAATCGGACTTTACTGAATAGAAGGTAATGGAACATGGTTACCATCGGCAACTTGACCTTTTTTACCTGACAGTTTACCCAGCATCGCCACATCAGTGTTCATCCCATCATTATTTTGTAAATGAGGAATGGAAAGTTGATCAAAAATTGTGATTGAAGCTGCAATTTTAAGAGATAAAGATTTACTTTATAAGTGCCTGTGTAAATTGGTGATTTTTTAAAAAAGCAGATGGTGCTTATTCATACTGAATGGTGAAACTTTTATCAGTTTTTCGGCAGGAATATATTGAAGCCCTCCGATCGTCCGTCTGTCCGGAAGATTACTCGAATACTAGTTGACGGATAATCTTAATATTTGGTGGAAATATGTGTATAGTGGTGAATAGAAAAGTTTTTTCCAATATGGATGCATTCACTGTCAAACAAAGAAAGTAAAGCAATGTTTTAGAGGATATGTTTCAAACTTTCTATAATTTTCTATAAATTATTCTTCATTAATCTATTCAAATTGATATTTTTGGGCTGCCAGAAGAAGGATAAGATATTCCATCTATTAAGGTTTAATAATATGTGACTAAGTTGGATTTTGAGATATTACATTTTTTGATATATTCTAAGTCAATATCCTGATCCATCCTTGGCTCATCCCTACAGTTTAAGAGTTACCTTCCTCCCGGGAAGATGGCTGCTGTCACTCTGGAGAATGCCATTCATTGTTGGAATATTGTAACTAGCAGTTTTGACATATAGATTCTGTTTTATCGCACTTTCTATTCTAGTATATTTTCATTGACTTATGTTAATCGGGTGCATGATAAACATGTATGTTTATAACTATAAATAATCCTATTATATTATATGTAGATGCGTTTATTCACAAAACAAAATTGTACACGAGTGTTATTTATAACCTGTATAAACATGTACATTTTGTACAAGAAGTAAACATGTATACGCGTTCGTTTACTTCAAGAAATAAACCTGCATACGGGTGTGTTTATTTCAAGAAAGAAACCTGTATACGGGTGTGTTTATGTCAAGAAATAAATCTGCACACGGGTGTGTTTATTTCAAGAAATAAACAACTATAAGTTTGATTTGATTTGGAGAAATAAACATGTATACGGGTGCGTTTAGTACATGAAATGAAGATGAATATGGAAAGATCTGGTATGGATATAGAATATTTCTTGAAAGAGTGTGTTTATTTGAAGAAATAAATCTGTGTACACGGGTGTGTTTATTTCAAGAAATGAACAACAATATGGGTGATTTTATTTGAAGAAATAAACATGTATACGGATGCGTTTATTACAAGAAATAAACATGGATATGGGTGTGTTTATTTCAAAAAAGAAACTTGTATAACTATACGGGTGATTTTATTTGAAGAAATAAACATGTATACGGGTGCGTTTAGTACAAGAAATAAACATGGATATTGGAGTGTTTATTTTTTGAAAGAATCCTGCTCATGGGTGCATTTAAACCTGAAATGAATGCGCTTACTGCAACAAATAACCATATATACAGGTGCATTTATTACCATTACAAAGTATAACACTATAGATTACGGTGTGGAGTTCACGGATCCCTTTCTCCTGTCTTTCTTATTTTTCCTATCTTTCTTATTTTTTCTGTCCTTATTTTTGTTGCCTTTCTTTTTACCCCCCTTCTTCTTTTTAGGTTTTTTCGTACACGTTGTCAACTCCCCGTCCCACATGCCGTTGACACACGTTCTTGTAGCTGACCCTTGTAGGATAGGAAACTTCTTCTTGCATGAAAATGTCACCTGATCCCCGTGTTCGTAACTGTTTTTCATTTTTATACTTTTTGCTCCATTTGGAAGTGCAAGTGGTGAACATCCAGCTAAAATACGAATATAAATGTGTTGATGCAAACATAATAGAGTTGGTTACATAACTCCCCTATCACACCAAGCTAGTTCTCAACCGTTCTTTCCAGTCTTACAAAATATGTCTAAAATAATTATCTAGTTCGTTTATAAACAGTCTTCAATACGTCAATCTCATTCTTAAGGTCGCACCATGTCGGTGCACAGGTAAGTTCAGTAATTGTTATCCGATTGGACAACGTCGTTATCGCGTACCTAATGGTTCGAAATACGGCAATTACGTTCGCAGTCAAGTAGGTAATCCCGTTTGAAGTACCTTGTCATACGATTTTATTGTAAAACGGTATGGTTTCCATCGAATTTTGAAATGGTTAAATCCTTCCCGTCTGAGCACGTCCATGAAGTTCGTAAACAGACCGTAGAAAGTTGCAGTTACGTTCATTCCGTTCGTTCACAGTTTAAAACCAGCTGGGTAACGTTTTTAAGAACCCAGTTGAACAACGCAGTGACAACTAGTTTGGTTTGATAGCTATTTTTGCTAACTCGTTCATAAAAAGTCGTTATTCCGTCTACATAACGCATCCACGCAGTTCAATTGCGTCCTTAGTCGTTCTCAATACGTCCCTAGTAAAACTGAAGTACGACTGTTCCGTTCGTAGTACGTCCAGCTCGACTTATACGTTGTCACTCGTTATGATTGCAGCAAGTTACGACCAAAAGAACAGTTGGAACGTGCTCTAGGTTCTGGAGAACCTACCCGTTCGAGTACGTTCATGAAGTTTGTAAATAGACCCAAAACGGTCACATCCATCCGTTCGTACACAGTTTAAGCCCGTTTTCGAGAACGTAGTGAGAACTAGTTTGGTGGAATAAGGTGGGAGGTTATATAGTTGAGAACGTACAGCAAGTTATAAGTAGCCGCTACTGTAATATATTTGTTAGCGTGGATCGTACATTTTGTATTTTAGAACGTACGTAACAGTAAGCTTTGAGTAGCCGCTACCCCCCCCCCACCTATAACACCAAACTAGTTCTCAACCGTTTTTCCAGTCCTACGAAAAGTCGTGAAACGGGCTAATCTGACTGGTAGAGAAATATGTCTAAAATAATTAGCGACTTCGTTCATAAACGGTATGGTCGCCATCAAATTTTGAAATTATTCAAAATTCTAAATCACATTCCCGTCCGAGCACGTCCATGAAGTTCGGAAATAGACCGTAGAAAGTTGCAGCTACGTTCATTCCGTTCGCACACAGTTTAAAACCCGTTTTTAAGAACGCAGTGCCAACTAGTTTGGCGTAGCCATATTTTTGCTAACTCGTTCATAAGCATGCTTTTATAAGTCCTTTATCAGTTTAAACCAGTTAGCTCTAAGTTCTGGAGCACGTACCCGTTCGAGTACGTTCATGAAGTTTGCAAATTGACCCTAAACGGTTCTAAGTTCGTCCAATCCGTTCGTACATAGTTTAAGGCCGTTTTCGAGAACGTAGTGAGAACTAGTTTGGTCTTTCAGTAGGGTACTGTAATATATTTGCTAGAATCGATCGTGCATTGTACATTTGAAAACGCCCAGTAACATAGTAAACTTTGACTTGTCGCTATCGTAGTCGAGCTAGTAGCTAAAAGTCCATGTGACCCCCTCCCACTACTTGACTACACCGGTATGAAAACTTCTCACACAGTGGGGAGGTGTGAAGTGGGGTGGGGGGGCGAATGGCTTATAGCTTGCGCCTAGTACACGATAAAGAGATGAGTACAATTCAATAACTGTTCAAGTTCACAAACATATTAATAGCGAAATTGTATTAAAAATACAATATACAGGGTGACACAAAAGATGACACCCACCAAAATGCAACTCAACTTTTGTAACATAACTTCGTAAATGCTAATGATTTTGGCTTGTACTTTCAGGGAAATAAAGTTCATTCAAATAAACACAAAATAATGTAGTTGTCGTTGATAAAATCATTATAACTTATTTCAAAAATTATGTTACAAAAGGTGAGTGTCATTTTTTGTGTAAGATCCAGTTGTGCCAGCGGAGTTGTAGAATGGAGTGTATAGTAGTTTTAATGTGCAAAAAATCAGAATTTTTTCAGACAAAAAAGTTATGAAACATTTTGTGGGTGGGTGTCATTTTTTGTGTCAAGCGGTATTATGAAAAATGTTTGCATTAAGACGGGTTAATGTTCATTGTTCAAATGGGAAAGTGTTCAAATTTCAAATTAAGAGGTTCCCAGTTTCAAAAATAGGATACGATTATTTCAAATTAACATGAAAGTCAATGGAAAAACAAGATCGGAAAACATATTCACATTTGGACGTGTTTGTGTTCACATGTAGAGGTGTAAATGTTCTTATTTAGACGTAGTGTTCACATTTGGACGTGTTTGTGTTCACATTTGGACGTGTTTGTGTTCACGTTTGGACGAGTGTTCATATTTTGACATTTTAGTGTTCACATTTGGACGTATTCGAGTTAAGGAGGTGTTTGGGTAAAGAGATTTTACAGTTTCTGCTGACTATTTCTTTCAGTATTTAACTCACCAAACTCCTCTTCGGGTGGTGGTTGGGGTTCTGTTACGACTTCATTTGTGGTTTCTTCTGGCTTTTCAGGTGTCTTGGTAGTTTTTGGTTTTTTAGGCTTGTCTACCTTTGGTTTGCTTGTGTCAGGCTTAGTTATCACAGGTCTATCAGCGTTTGGTTTTCTATTTGTATCCTTAACGACGATTTTATTGGCGATTCTTTTGCATATGTCACTTATGCAGCTCTCATCCCGGCATGACATGCTGCTTCTTATGGAATCGAGAGGAAAGACGTATCCACGCTGAAGAAAATGAAAGAGTACATTTTAAAAAGTATACAGTCATCACCCAGGCGGCAGGCCCAAGTTGGTTAAATCTTCTACTGCAGTAATACAATATTAATGTAGAAATGAAATGAACTATTTAAAAAAATGTATACGAGATAAAGGTCCGATCAGTAAATAAGTTAATAATATACTTAATATTTTAATGAATTACACATACTTTGTGAGCTTATTACCCCTTTAATTACTTAGAATATGATGTTAACTCGCATGTTTCGGTTGGACCAAGAAAAGTCATGTGAAGGCATGATGTCAAGATTGGACCTTTAACCTTGAAAAAATATTCTTTGACCATTTATAGGTCAGCCTCATGATTACAAACTGAAAATATGTAAAATTAATTTGTATTTAACTAATTAATTGATATTAAAACATACCCCAGAACCCCAATTACGGAACATTTTGGGGCACCCACAACACCTTCTTGGATCTTTGCATGGTATTGGACTTAAGCAACCAGTATATCCGTATACATATTCAGCAAGACCTACAAACAAAAGAAATCCACATATAGTGTTATAATTACATTTGCCTTTTATTTTTTCCCAGGGCCAGCAAAGGTTTTAGCTAAGGTAATTGTAATCTTTCACGTCAGATTCAGTGTTGTCTTCATTGAATATGAAAACATTGCCTTTGTTTATCCTATGGTATATCTTACTCTTACTAAAAATCAAAGTACAGATACAAATAATTTTAATTGTTAGTTTTGTCACCTCCTACTCTTCTTATTATTAATCCCCTCAAAGGGACGTTAAACATATAAATAAATTTGAATGGCCTACAAGTACCCCCCCCCTCAAAGCACCATGCAGCATATGCTGTCACATGTCATCGTACAAAACAAATACCGTGCACAATTGTTTCATTTTCAGAAATTGAGTGATTTTCAGAAATTTGTGTTCTTATTTATTGCTTACCTAAAACGGCCAGACATATGGTAATGATTGTACTCCAAGTCGTCATACTCCTTTGTTCAAATAATATTAAATAAAAATGTAAAAGTAGAAATATCAATAAATGCAGTATGTCACTGAGATTTCCTCAGTCTATTAATTTACAAATATGTCAGCATATTCAAACAAACAACACATTTCAAAGTAATATTAATAAATGTAAGTGTCTCCTCTCTATTGACAAAACATGTTCTGCTATGTTTAACTTAACAATATGTTCAATAATCCCAAGTAGGCGTATTAGGTCTTTCTGGATAAAAATTGAAGGGTTGAACGGTAATAATGTACTTAGAAGTAGAGTAGGTCGCTTCTTGATATATTAGATGTACATATGGCTTACTTCTAATGTTTAGATTTGCTTACATTTTGTATTCATTGGTATATATTACATTTGTACATAATTGCATTTATTACATTTGTGTATATATTACAACATTTGTATATATATATAACATATATATATATAAAATATTATTATATTTATTGTCTTTGTATTTATATATTACACCTGTACATATATTACATTTATATAGTAGCCGAGACAACACAAGTCCCAAGTCTGTATTTTTACTCTCATTTCTTCACTTTTAAGAGTTAAGTCACCACATTTTGCATGCATATTCCTTGCAGAAATCCTAACATAGAATTGTATTGGTTTTGATTATAACTTATTTGTTGAAAATAGAGAAACATTTGATTCTGATTGGTCTATAATCAAAATTAGCCATTTTCAGCGACAAATGCATTATTTCAAATTTATATAAAAAATCACTTCTTTTGGTGTAATAATTCCAAATTGACCACATGTTTCCTTTTTCAACAGAAGTGTAACTATTTTGGGGTAATTGAGACATATCCGAGAAAAATGGTATGCAGAAACATGATATTTGAAATAAAACGGGGCCAAAAAAGACCCCTGAAGATGCCTTCATTATTTGAGATTTTTTGCGTGTTTCAATTTCCTAAAAAATGGATGGGGTAGGGGAGTGGCATACCCTTTGGGCTTATTCCAGTAACCATTTTGTTCAAATGAATGATGAAATATTTGGTATCATCTTAAAGCTTGTAATGTGTGCGTTAATTTGGTACCCGTATTATGACGTCAGATGCTATATTGTGACGTCACAGTAGTAACAAACGATCTTGAGGGGGAAATTAAGCACCAAAATGCGGCAAAATAATGGTGTGACTCCACCACTGTTTTGCCAATTCACTGCTTGCCACAATCAATGAATGCATTTCTCATTGGGGTACTCTTCCAATGCATGATCTGATGACTGGCAAAAAATATCTAGGATGATAGTTATTGTAAATAAGATTAGAGACACCATATTGTATCTATCATTTATAACTTCAATTTTTATTAATGACGTCAAAATGTTGCATTTGTTACACAAAATGGATAATTCTGATTATGGACGAATACAAATCAAATGTTTCTCTATTTTTAACAAATAAATTATAATCGAAACCAATAAAATTCTATGTTAGGATTTCTTCAAGGAATATGCATGCAAAATATGATGACTTAACTCTTAAAAGTGAAGAAATGAGAGTAAAAATACAGACTTGGGACTTGTGTTGTCTCGGCTACTATGTATTACATTTTGTATAATGTTACATTTGTATATGTGCAAGATTAACGCTTGTTGTAATGATATGAATTGTTTTGATTGATAATTGCTGTCAAATAACATTATCAGGAGAGTATAATTGAAAATTATATCAATAATGTCGCAACTGTCTCAGTTGGTTTTTCCAGGCACCTAATTACGACTATTTCCCTTATACCTTCGTACTCAATCGGGCAAGTAAATGCTAAGAAAGGAAGAATATATTCCTAGTATAGAGGGCCCTAGTTCTTAAGTACAAGTTCTCTTGAAAATGTGTAGCTTATCCTCTCTATCATCGCCCACAATACCAAGTTAGGATTAGGTTATTCTGTTTTCACTTAACAGATAGTTTTCATTCAATGCAATTAATAGAATCAGATTATACTCATCTTCAAAGCTTTATCAAGGTCCAGTTTCATGACATATAAACGTTAATTGTTTAACCAATTGATTAATTAACATTGTTATAATTATCGATCACATCTATAAATCGCACTATACTTTTTTCATAATAGGGAGGCAGAATCAGATCTATTAGGAGTGAAAACAGTACAAGCAGTATGTACGATTGACCTCTTAATCTATTCTTTACAATCTCAAATACAATATTTCACGAACGATTCTCAATATGTCATAAATTGGTGAAGTTATTATGGATTAAGCGATTCATTTGTATGGGCGATTGCTCATACGTATAGGTTGGCGTTTCGAATTTACACGTAAGCTTAAACTCCCCATTACTGTTTCTATGTTAGCGAGAACTTGTTAAAATGCATCTGAACATGTACTGCTCTCATATTTGACAAGTATTTGATGCATTTGAACTTGTATTGCACGCACTTGAACGTGTATTGAACACATTTGAACCGCTTTTACACGCACCTGAATGTGTTTTGAACGCATTTGAAGGTGTATTGCATAGTACGCATCTTAACATGTATCGGACACATTATCCACGCCGTATTGCATGTATTTGAACGCCTATTACACGTATCTGAACATGATTTGAACATATAAAACGCATCTTATGCATTGGATGTTTTTGAAGTGAATTGTATGCCTTTGAACGTGTATTGCACGCGTCTGAACATGTATTGGACGCATTTGAATGTGTATTGCTCGCATCTGAACATGTATTGGACGCATTTGAACGTGTATTGCACGCATCTGAACATTTATTGCACGCATCTGAACATGTATTGGACGCATTTGAATGTGTATTGCTTGCATTTGAATGTATGTCTGTGAAACCAGCTTGGAATATTCAGTGTTTGTCAATATAATATTTTCAAAACAATTTCAAGATTGTATCTTCCTATTTTGACATATTTTGATTTGACGACCTTTGAAAAGAGGTCACTTGTGGATTTTGTTCAGTGTGGGCTGGCGCTGAAGACGAATTCATCAAATGGTAACTCAATCATTGTGACCAATTGCCTTGGAAAGGACTCTGAAGATTACAAAAAATCTTAATAGTAATCGCAATTGTTGAAAATATCATCGTTGATGTTTAGGCGAATGTGGAACGTGAAAAAGTTTGTGTTGCTTTCGGGACAAAGGTAGAATATAACGCACGGGGAGGAGAAAGAAACGAAATCGAGTAATTACTCAAAATAATCTGGTTCGATAAATAATATCTGGCATTTTGAGGAGTATAATATCCCGATAATATTCCGAAAAGTGCAACAATGCTGTTAGACGTGGAACCCTCTGGAATTCTATCCATGGGCTTTCAATACAGAGAAGTTGCACAGTTGTTCTGGGGTAACTCTCATTTGATCCATCCTGGGCAGTTTCTCACTAAGCGTAACAACTTAAATGAACTTGATTCGGTTGGTCGATGTCGATATTGTATTTACATATGTTTTACTAATTCACATTGAACCTGCATTGATATTCTTGTGCTATGGCTATTAAAAATTCACGGTGATTTGTCAAGTTCAAATAATTAATTTTCAATCGTGTAACAAGCTACATTGATTAATCTCAAAAATACCTTCGATTATATGATATTTGAAGGGCGTGCAGAATACATTCAGAGCAGAATGTTATAATATCAATATTTATTTACATATTCATAAAAACAAACACATTCAATTGCAAAGTGATACATACGTTTTATTTACTCAAAATTCTCTACACGGACATCTAGTAGAAAAGTAGAAAAATACTGAAATCTTTACATGCAAGTTAAAACACACATCTAGGATTTCAAACGACGACATAATTCATTTTCAGTAATTACATACCAATGAACCTATCAAAGACCATGATAGTTTTGAAGCAAAATAATCGATTAATACTTAGCTGGGATCGGACTACTTCATCATGAAACTATCGCCCATGCATATTTACCCATCCTTGGTTCAAGGCCAGGGTATTTCACTTCTTTTTGAATTGAGGAATAAATGAAGCCCTTTGAAAGAAGGATTATTAACCCCCTTGGAGCCATTCCATCTCCCGGGTTCAATCTAGCCCACATTGTTAATCTTTCAAAATATCATATTTCATGTTGACCGTGTTATTTCATGTTGAAACCGTTCAAGACATTTTTTTCAAAAAGTCCATAGATTTTTTTTCAAAAGATACATGCCAAAAGCCCAAAACACATGAGAGTATAGTAAATGAATCGGAGAAATATTTACATTAGTTTTGCTTCAAGACTGTGAACTCCCCCCCCCCTCCTCGATCTTCATCAACACAACAAAGTAGATGAGGAGCGGGTCCAGGATCTTGAAGCAAGGCTATATTTACATGTTAATGTTATCCGATGCTACAAGCAATGGGTCCACAAAATTCACTTGTGTTGCCATCTATGTACTAAAACCAACGTTTTATTTGGGGTTTCGATCCATGACTTAGAGTAGATGGTACTTACTCACTTCGAGAGCCATGTTAGATTTTGAAACTTATGGCTCTCAAACGGAGAAGTGAACAGCTGATCAATAGTGACCTTTGAAATTGAATTAAGTCGATCCGCGGCTTACTTTTGGTCTCTAACTGTGTCTTACATCAGTATCATCAATCCGTGTAAGTATTGGAGCGCTGGAGTACTTCTTTTTCGATCAAGACTTGTAAATTGTTCATCGAGTTAAAGTTTTACAGACCTATTTCCAATATGGCGGTTTGCGAGGTGCGAGATACGCAACGAACGAAATGAATTTTGAGAATTAGTTAGGTTCGGACAACCTCCGGAGATTTACGAAAATGTCCGAGCAGAAACCGCCATATTGGAATTTGGCAGTAAAACGATTCACTCGACTAACAATTACAAGTCTTGATCGAAAAAGGAGTACTCCAGCGCTCCAATACTTACACGGATTGATGATACTGATGTAAGACACAGTTAGAGACCAAAAGTAAGCCGCGGATCGACTTAATTCGATTTCAAAGGTCACGATCATTGAGCTGTCCAAATGCTCCGTGGGAAAGCTATTATATCAAAATCCAAATAGCTTTCGCAGGAAGTAAGATGGTACTATACACCAGTCTTTCAATGTTTGATTTTCAATATTACTAAACAGCATGATAAATTAATAAATAAGATAAATAACAGTATTTCCTGTATGGATAATTGAATCGATAAATTAAAATAGTTATAAATAAATACTTGTACCGTACTTTAACAAATCGTGAATAAAATATGTAAATATGATACGATACATGCTGTCGGATACTATAGCAACGTTCGATAACGCCACGTGACATACAAAATATGGTTTCTGTCAAAGGCTGTTTCGGGATAAATTAAATAAATACACAAAACATTCAAAATAAATACATAAATTATTATGATACAGCACACATACATGAACAGGTAATATACCTTAATAAGTTATTCAAAATAAATATACCACACTAAGCGATTCATTCAACGCCAGCGAAATCTCAGATTTGAGAATTCATCATTGCACGATTCCGGCCTACAAGCACCCACAACTGTTCCACTCTATACAGGTTAAATAAATATCAACTAACTATATATACAAAAATATTAACATACACATTTAAAAAGTATTGTCTTACTTTTTACAAAACAGTATGAAAGATTTAAATATTAATTCAAATAATCAATTAATGTCTCGCCTTAAAGCGACCTTTAAATAATTTAATACAATAACTATTTTTACCGCGTACATATTTTTAAATTACTTATAAAATGTCATTTTAAGTGGACACATGTTTTCAAATATTAATATATAAATACTTAATTGGTTACTCCATAGCAACGTTTTATAAATAACAATAATTATGATTTTGACAATTTAAATTGTACACTACACCCATAATGAGATAAAAAGAGAGATCAACTTGAAAAAAACTTTTTACACCGGAGTATTTGTTCCCAATTCCACGTCAACTCAGTCAACGCGTGTTTTACAGACTTCCCTTATTTGGCACTTTTGTATCAGCACATAGTCAGCAGTACTTGTTCCATATTTGGCACATTTGTATTTGTTCAACAGCCTGAGATTACGCTTGTTTCGTCCAGTGCCTAGATTTAAATTTTATAGTCCTGTGACCTAACACAGGTCACAATTACTAATGGAAATGTTGTTTCTTCAAAAAAGTCAGGAATGAACAACATTTGGAATTTGTTATGATATAACGTTTTGATTATTGTCGATGTTGGCGAAGTCCCCTCATACACGACGATTCTTCATGTTTGTAAAGATAACTTTTCAGCGCAAACGCCTTGCCACACCTCCCACAAACAAAGGGTTTTGCGGAAGAGTGAGTTTGAATGTGCGCACGCAGGTTTGATTTGTCGGCAAATGCTTTTCCACATTTTGCACATTTGAATGGTTTCTCTCCAGTATGTGTGCGAAGATGGCCCTGTAACAGCCACGGTCTCGAGAATTTCTTTCCACACACGGAACACTCACAACCTTGATTGTGCGTGCGCACATGCATACTGTACGCTGGCATTGACACGTAAACCTTCTCACAATGGGGACATTTTCTGGCCTTTTTGTCGGTTACACTGCGATGGGTTTGTCGATGTCGTGCTAAGTTAGATGGGGTGCTATAGCTGCGGCCACATTCGACACATTCAAATTCGTCCCCACTGCAACTTCCATCACTGAGAGATGCCCGGATGTTGTCGGTCATAGATGCCCGAATGTTCTCCGTGCTGAGGGACTGATCATATTCAGCAAGTGTAATACTAGGTGGTTTCACGATTGGACCACTCTGTATGAGCATAAGAAGATTTGGATTCTCGTAACTAGGTGAAGAATGGATGACTGATGGGCGCGGTGAAGGGACCGATTCAACAGCTGATTCTTCGCCGTCGCTCCGTTTAGCAATCTCGGATTCAGACATCTCACATTCCACATTTCGTGATAAGTCGTGTTGGGTTTCAAACACTTCATGGAATCTATCGAAGACAGGAGATAAGGGAGAGAGATCCGGACAGGCATCTGAAAGACATGAGAGAATAAATTGAGCGAGATAATACATTTAAGCGCCCCAATTTGTTTCATTAAACGAGCCAAACTGATATATGTGCTCATCATGGACAATTAGAAACTTACAAGCGAAAGCTGTTAATTGTGTCTTCTCTTGATTAATCATATTGATGCGTGATCATTTAAACAGAATAAACTTTAGCTTCATCCTGGCATATTGTTATCTAGTCATAATTCAGTCAACCTTAAGTTCTATAAACACATTAAGACACATATATATTGTGATGTTAGGCCCGTAGCCAGGATTTGCCAAGGGGGGGGGTTCAGTTTTCAAAAATTTCCAGGGGGGTTCACATTTGACAATTTTGGCCCAAATTTGGCTAAAATCACTTGAAAAGTGCTCAAAATGGTGAAAAACTGCATGATTTAGAAAGAACTTTTGGCCAGGGGGGGGGGGGTTCGCCCGAACCCTGCGAACCCCCCTTCTGGCTACGGGCCTGGATGTACATACATGTGTGTATCTAGTGTGTATTGTCTTCGAAATTGACATGATAGGCTAACGGGGCAATATAAAGACCCGGGTATAAAGATGACCTGTATCAAGTAATAGCATGGTTTAATTTGACTAAATGACAATAATCACAAGAAGTGTTGTGATTAAAACCATGACCATGATTTGAGAGGCTAGCTATGAGACAGGCGAGGCAAACGCCTCACCAAAACTTCACAGAAAAATATTTTTAGACTGAATCAGTGAAAATCATGTCACAGAAAACATCCTTTTTGACTTAACCAAAATAATTTTGTCTCGCCTTTTTTGGTTTTTGAATCTTGTCCCCTGATGACATGAAAATCTCCAACCATCGACCAATTATTACTTTATCAGTGTCACTAATCACTTTTCATTAATCCAAACCACTCCACGGCTAATATGTTCAGCGTCTGGTATAGCTTGCTGTTATGTTTATTCTAGTAAGACAGGTGTCTTGATGTGTTTACCATAAACCCTTTCAAAAGTCATATTATCCCAACATCCTTTGAGAATAAAGTAATTTTTTGCAGCTTTGACTATGTAAGTTGAAACGAGAGATGGACTGTGTTATCTATAGTTAAAGACAGCGACCAATGGTGTCAGAAAGTAAGTCACGTGTCATGTCCAACTTCTATATTTGGCAATACACGTAACGGGACACCTTTGGATAAGGCACATTTGTCACTTACTGTAAACTGCAACGCACGGAAGTAATCATGCAAGTAATCATGGACAGAGAAGTTTGTTTAAAGAAATAAAAATGAGCTATTGGATTTTTAATAGTTTTAGATACTGGCTGCCTTGCTACCTGCTATGATTTACTTTGTCAAGGATGTACTTTCGCCCTGCTTCGCTTTATCTTTTTTATATACTTTCAAATAAAACATATTCGGCTACAACGTACGAAAGTGAAAAAGAAAACATGGACAGAGAAAGTTGTTGAAATAAATGAAGCTGGGTTCTTATAAACATGTTAGGCTAAGCGATTGGGCGCCATAACAACGAGGTTGCGAGTTCGAGACGCGTGTGCTCTTTGTGTTTATTCATTAAATAGCTTTCAATAATGTTTAGATTGCCTGACTATGTCTACCGACCTTATTATGTCTTACTTTGTCATGCATTTCGTTCTGCTTGGTTTTTTTCGATTAGTCTTGTATTTTTCTGTATAGTTTTTAATAAAATATGTTCTGTATATAATGCGTATGATATAGCTAAGAAAGAACTCGATTAAACATTACATTGATAGATGCATATTCTTATTCAAACAAAAAATGAATATTACAATGGTTGATAAAGTTGAAATCTATATATAAGGCCACAACCAATGCGTATCGTTCCACCAAGACTGCATCAGCCACAGACACCAAGTCGAAATTAAACCCCTTTAGTTTTTTGCCTAAGCCATCTTCATCTGACATATTAGTGGGACCAGATGCTAGTATATCTCTGCTAAAGAAGCCATCTGGTTTCAGAAGTCCTACGTTTTTTCCAAGTTAATAGGCTTACTGGGGTCAGAGGTCTCACACAGATACTATTTCTACTCCCATAAATTTACTACAAAGTGTGCGTATTTTCATCTAAGTTGTTTTTTAGAAACAACTGTTGCAGTCGAGAGTTGTCAATATCTTACTAGAAATAGGCTGCAATCTTTCATCATCAGTTTTTGAATGATTATCGAGTCAGGCATGTACTCTTATTGGGAATGGGTCTTCTTGTACCATATTTAAACTCTTACAACTTATGATGTCGCTGGTGTCATAAGTGTATCCACTGTCCACACATTTTGTGTTGAAAATTACAGTAGCAAAATTGAATGAAATTATTGACTTTTTGAATCTCTTATAGTTTATGTTTTTGAGGCGATTGCCCCCCCCCCATGATGAAGAACATAATCCCTTCTTTGTCATCTTCAATCCCAAAACTACCCATTTCGATATAAAACGATTTGCGATTTCAAATTGAAGGATACTCTGTAAGGCGAATGTCTAATGGAGATAAGGTATATGATCCAAGAGTGCATATTTTTTATAAAGGGTCATAAAATAAGATATTGGATACTAGTATTTTCCGATATACCCCACCCCTCCCTTAAAAACTTGAACAAGAACCGGAGAGTACGTAGCAATTCAGCTAAACAAAACGTAACTTTGATTGCTTAAGAAATCTGTTGCTAATCTTTAAAAGTACTGGAGCACTATCTTCCGATAAACATTTCCACCTAGATGGGATCATCAGCTTTGTACAGGTAAGAAATACCATCTTAGTGTGCGTGGCTGAAACAACCTGTTGGCGATTCTCCTCGAAACCACATCCGTAAACTCATCAGTAACATGCTACGTAGTATAACATATACCTCAAAATCTTGAATCTTATATCGTACTTCTTATCTTGAAACAAGTGCATTTCGGCATTCAAAAATGAACGCCCAAACTTTTTCATTCGACTTCTCATTCGGGAGGCAATCTTTTTATCCGTGATCAAGCCATACTTTGATTTTTCTTTCGGTAGACATTTTGGAATCCTGGGCTAGTATGGCGATGATGTGGTTCATAATACATACATACATCATACCCTGGGAACATATATAAAAAATCTAGTCTGAGTCTACTAAGAAAAATGATCTTTTTAGGGGACATATGCAGACTCGATTTTTATTCATGTTCCCAGACCTATGATACGGTTATTACATGAAAGATGCTTGTAAAATCAAAACGTAAATATGTGAACCATTCACCAAGAGTAGACAAGTGCTTACACAGTTAAGTGGTCTTTAATATCGTGAGAATAATCAAAGAAATAGAATTATGAAGTTTTATACTCGATCTTTTGATGGTCAAACTTAAAATTGTTCCTGTTCAATAGACCATCTCCAGAAACGCAAAAATGAATTTCAAGAGTACTTATTAATTAATATAAGTGCCTCGATTATAACACAAATAGGAATTGGGCCAGAACCAGAACCCTACATTTCCCAACTACTCGTGAATGGAAAGACAGGCGTTTCTTTATGTCATTATTAGACATGCCTAACGAGCATTCTAGCCCTGTTCGTAGCAGATAAGCTCCGTGTAAGAAGCTACACTGTGACCCAGGATTACGCAAAAGCAATGACCTTTATCTTAACATATTTATTTTTACGTTGAATTGATACGAGAGAAGCATTTACGATGAAAAATACCAAAGATGAGGCGTCTGTTTTTAGAATCTTAAGTGTGTAGAGTAGAGTGGGCAACATATCGACGGTAATAAACAATATTACAACTGTAGTAGCGTAACTACTATCTCTCACGTCTATAAAGTTGCTCCTCCAGAACACTTCAACGCGCAGATCGTAATAGTACAAGGCAGCTGGAATTCGTGTAACAAGAACAGACAATGAAATTAAGTAAATACCCTTTAAGGTAGAGGCGCAGAAGTTTGGTAACTGAACGAAAAATAACGATGATCAAGTCATCGTTTTTGCACGGTTTGATCAGGCTTGTAAATGCAATATTCGTTTAAACGTAAAAATGATGCAGTTACAAAAAACTGAAAATTCCCATTTACCAGCAAAAGATATGAGGTTCTTTGGAATAACTGGGACTTGTAAATCAAGATGCCAAAATTGGTTTGGTTCGATCCATTCACTTTGAAACAGAGGCTGGAAAAGTTAACATTTTTGTACTTGAATGAATAATAGTGAGGTCAGTTTAGCCAATGTATCTACCTATGATAACCCAGAGTAGTCAATATCCATCAATTATAACCTGTGCTAGATAAATAGTTTACCATGTTCTCAACTCAGTAGTAGTAAGTAGTAAGAGAAAAGTGGTTTCTGGCTCAGTGTTTACACAACATGTCCACCTTAATGAATCAAGTTATGTCATCACAGGGAACCTAGAAGTGAAGATGTTATGACTGCCTTTGGTGAATCACGTTATGTCAGCAGAGGCATCATCTCTAGAGGTGTAGATGTTATGACTAAAAGGCGATGATACAACTGATGATATCTTACTAATGCAAGATCGGGGTTTTCTTTCAGATCTAATGTTACGTTGGCTTTAAGCCATGATTCAGCTGTGAGATAATGCAGGAGTTATGAGCCAGATTTTGAAGTTTGATGAAATATACCTGGCTGAGTAAACACTTAATGGAATAACATGTAAATCAATGACGTAAACCACTTCCTTCATTGACTGGAGCTTCATAACGGTATCCCTATATACAGATCTTGAGATAATTCAGCTTATATAACTCCTCACTTTTGTTGGTCTATGGAACTGAAACCACACCTTGTACCTATACACGCTTGTCATTATGGTCAAAGCCTCAAGCCCTTATAACCCCCCTCACCTCTGTAAACAAGACTAAACCCCTTACGTGATCCTTGAGCCCATTCGCAAATCGATGACGCAAATCAGTTCTTTCAGTGACATGGATATCATAAGGGTCCAATAGATTCCGAGAAAATCCAGATTCGTGAAAGTTGATTCGCATATAA